ATTGAAAAACATTACATAGCATGGATTTCAGCAATATATTGGGGAAGAAATTTGCAGTTTTAGCTCTATCTTATGACAGGCCAGAAATTATTTTTTTACTTACTTTGATATCCTTTCACACTGTGAGAGAATATCATTTTGATATCCTTTCACACTGTGAGAGAATATCACTTTTATTCAATAAATAAATCACAGTACTTCACTGTTGAAAATGTAATAAAAGCATGTATTTGCGGTATGGTAATCTGCAGAGCCGAAAACTGATATGGACGGAGGAATGACATCAAATATAATTATAGTTCCTGCGTGCGTCAGATACAGCCAGGGTCCTAAGCAGCTACCTTGTGGAACGCTGCATTGCAGCTGACGCACAGATGATAAAATGGAATTTACACATACTTGGCAGCCACGAGGTGTATGAATCTACCCATTTTAATGCCAAGCCAGATTCCATATTGTTTTTGAAGTACTTTTATTAATATATCTTGGTCTACAGTAACCTATCGAACGCGGCGCTGAGATCGATTGCTATAAGAGCGGTTACGTCTTGCTTCTCCATAGAGTCAAGCAGGTCAATTACGAGTCTTAAAAGAGCAGACTCACAAGAATAGAAACGTCTGTATGCCGAAAGATTTTTGGGAAGCATTTTGTTTTCATATTGTTTTCATTAACGTGCATAAAGAGTCATAATGAGTCTATAAAGAGCGGATTTTTCGATAAGTTTTGAAAGAAATGAAGATTACTGATTACTCCAGCGAAAGTTGGAGATGAATGAATGAATGAATAAATAAATAAATAAATAAATAAATAAATAAATAAGTAAATAAGTAAATAAATAAATAAATAAATAAATAAATAAATAAATAAATAAATAAATAAAATAAATAAATAAATAAATGAATGAATGAATGAATGAATGAATGAATGAATGAATAAATAAATAAATAAATAAATAAATAAATAAATAAATGAATGAGTGAATGAATGAATGAATGAATGAATGAATGAATGAATAAATAAATAAATAAATAAATAAATAAATAAATAAATAAATAAATAAATAAATAAATAAATAAATAAATAAATAAATAAATAAAATAAATGAATGAATGAATGAATAAATAAATAAATAAATAAATAAAAATCGTGATAAGAACAGTTAAAATCACCCCCACCCCACCCTTCCTACAAAAATATAAGTGAAAAGCAGTTTTTTATTTTGAAAGAAAGAAACATAGAACTTGACTAAAACTTTAAATAAATAAACGTGAACTTGTGTAACATTTTCCATCATTTCCATGCCTGTGTCTCATTGTAAACCTTTTTTTTTATATACAATCTTATTGTGGGGTTAATTTAAGTCCTATTTCAATGATTTTTTTTCACTGAATCATGCAATATTGTTCAAATTTTCTTGTCTTAAAATGCTAAACAAGATGATACACTAATCTAATTCTTTGAGAATAAATATGAAATCGTCAAGACAGAAATTTGTAACCTCAAAGTACTATATATGATTTCTTAACAAATTAGAGTCATGAAATTTTTACTTTGCATTTGACATGTGATATCACCGAAATGCCTACAGATAAAATTATTTTGAAATTATGCGGAGAAACTGCGAAGAATTCTAGATTTAAAAAAATGCATTTTTCACTGACATATATAGTGTAAAAAAAATTATCATGCAGGCCCGTAGGAAGCAATTTCAGTTGGGGGGGGGGGGGGCACAGCCATACATTTTCAGTTGAGGGGGCACTATCAACTACAAAAATTTCTTGACAAGCAAAAGGAAAAAAAATGGTCATCAGACGTTTTTATTGAGGGGCACAAGCATATAGTATCTATGTTTTCTATGGTAATCTATATATCGGCAAAATTATGGGGGGGGGGCACCCCCCCGTGCCCCCCCCTCCGGTTCCTACGGCCATGATTATGACTCTCTTATGACCAGGTACTGTATTTATTCTTTTAAAAAAAAATATGTGAAAAAGCATTTACACGCACTTGTTCCACAAATATGTGATCCTATTCGATTTCCCGGAAATAATTATTTGCCAGTTTGAAGTTTATGATAACCGTATTTCCATTTCCGTTCTGTAAGATTAGCCCTAAATCTACTACATTTGATGGACCGTGTTCGTAGAGGAACAGTTATTGCAGTAAGTTATAAGATAATATTTATTTTGAACATCAGATACGTTTGATTACTTAACTTATATATGCAGACATAATGTGAGCAATTGAACATCCATCTAAACACAGTTGTACATGTATGTAAAACGAAAGTAGGAAAGTCCATTTGCCAATAATACGTAAATTTATTGGGAAAGTCATTCTCCAGCTGATTATTATAATAATTAAGTATCAATAGCAGTACCTATGGTTTTTTAGGTTTTACTGTATTACAGGTCAAAATAACATTATCCTAGTATACATTATTTAAGTATATCATGTATATTAGGCCAAAAAAATAATAGTCTTGTTTCCTGCTACCAGTACCAGCCTGAAAAAAAAAATAGGGTCGATAGGTAGGAAAATTTATTTTATATTTATTATTTTATTTTTTTCCGACAGCTTTTTTTGGATATGAACTAATACAAGATAAAATTAAACATGTCACAGGTCAATATTGTCTTTTAAAATTGAATTTCATGTCTTTTTATGCAAAACTCAAGTGGTATTTTATAAAAGTCAATATTTAAAACAAGAATTTCATGAAATGCTTGTTTTGTGTTAACACGGAAACCGATTATGGTGACAGAACAATGAAATTCCAGAAATTCCTGATTTTTTTTCTTCCAACACTTAAAAAAACTTTAGGGTCTGGTGCAAAAAAATAGGGTAGGTCGGGTAGCAGGAAACAAGACTATTATTTTTTTGGCCTTACATGCGTAATGTATAGCGTAACATGTTTAATATAGGGGGAAAGAGTCAAACTGGTGTCACCATTTTACTAAGGGAACGGCTCTGCATAGAATCACTATAAACTGTTAATGGACTTAAGTCAAAATTTAAATTTTGTATATTTTGATTTTCATTTAAATTATATGTCTGGGGCTTTGGTAAATCTTCCTCAGGCATGTCAGGAGCCAGCAAGTAATCAGTTGCCTTATCCTACAGAGGATCTTTTTACAAAATATCTTATGACCGAGATAAAATTTTCCTATTCTAGAAAAAGTATTTAAGCTATAGAAGGTCACAAAAAATTTATTTTTCTAATACATTAGAATATGTTGTGAATAATCCTTTATGGAAAAAAATCACATTTTTATTGAACAAAGAAATTACAGAATTGTCAAATTTTAATCTTGGTCAACAGGTCAATGGTCACAAGATTTTTTGTGAAAAGGGCTACAGATTTTTAAGATATAATTTTGTACCAAAAAAACTTCTTGGCCAAGATCATCACCATGATCACTATTCAAAAATACAAAATGCATGATGCACACTTGTCTAACTGTGCTATCCCTTGCCCATGGAAAATCTGCAACCAATGTTGGATTTACCCCCCCCCCCCCCCCATCACATGACACCATCACTTGGAGATGGTTGAGACATGTATTTTTCTCTTAGACATGTCTCTCAAAGTGACAAAATTATAACAGGCTATGACTGCAAACAGCCCTGTGAAAACAAATCAAGCTAATAGGGGTCGTTTTGATATGTTTTTAGACAAAGTAATTATTGCAGAGAACAGTTCACACCTTAGAGTGCAATGTTTTGTGTACAGTAACCAAGTACATGTACTGTAAGTCATGCTTCTACTGTTGCAAAAGTGAGACTTGAAGAAAAGTGGCAGATACATTATCATTCTTACAGATTTGGTCCATTAATTCTAATAAAACATGAAACAAGTAGACAACATGAAAGTACAATTCTGTCTATCAGTTTTGGGTTTCAGGAATTGATGTTGTATTATTGTAACCAAAATTAGAAGTGGGGAAAGATAATATTTAGAGAATGCTGCCTGAATCGGAAAAGTTAGCATATACAGGGCTCGACATAAACTTTTTTTCCTACTTGTCCATTCGGACAAGTGACCAAGACATTTACTTGTCCGAACTTCAACTTCACTTGTCCGAAAATTTTTCAATAAAGATCTAATACTGTCAACTTGAAAACTTAAATAAAGTCCATTACACATGACATGTGCTTGATTGATTCGTGATGTCATTGATATTTACAACAAACACATAAAACGAAATTTTATCTAGGCTTTCTGTCCTGACAACAACATAAATGTCCACAAGTGAACCAAACTTCGTTAAGTTCGTAAGTTCCATGCCTTTTCAGTAGTATCCAATTAGTGAACTTCGATCCCGAATCAATGTGAACTCAATTAGTAGTGATCCCTATCGGGATCGAAGTCCGGTTTTTATGTACAGCTTCCGTCTTGAAACTACCGATTATCTTTCACAGTCGTTCTTATTATTATATAGAGACTCCTTTACATTAAAATACACTTGTCCAATCGGACAAGTGCCCAGCAATATTCACTTGTCCGTAATTTTTTTTCACTGGTACCGGGCAAGCGGACAAGCGTTAATGTCGAGCCCTGATATATGCATGTATTGAGATTTCTAATTTTCTCTGAATAATACTACCTCAATATCAATAAATATTCAGATGCAATGCAATGTTTACAAAATAGGGAGAAATCCTGCATCTTCGTTAAGAAATTCCTCCATTTGAATGTAATTGCTTTCATTTTTTCTTTTTAATTCGTGCTACAAGTCTACAATGTATGATTTGTTAATGAATTGTTAAAATTGTGATTTGAGAGGTTATCCAAATTACTGATGCCTCTTTTTAGGAAGATATAAAATGAATTAAATTTTTCATGACTTTTGGGTGGGTAGGAAAATATTCCTATTCAAACATATACAAAAAATAAAAAAGTTCTGCATTCCTGTATTATTTTATTTTTTATTTTTTCAGAAAATGGTGGCTTTGTTATGGACTAACTTTCTCCAGATCATCCTGTAACAAAACTGAAAATGGCATCCATACCTAGCCTTGATGATAAACTGAGCTCGAGTGAATATATTCATGTGAGCAGAGACTCATCTCTTCTGTTGACAAACAGTAATGTGTCAGGGTGTCAAGACACTGCAAATTCACATCAAGAAATCCTAAACCCTGTTTCTACAGCACCTCAGCAGGATCCTGTAGATATTGTCAGAGATCTGACTTTGTCCCTTCACAATAGCATTGGATTTGATTCAGCAAATGAGGATTTTTTGATTGATAAATCTAAAACCAGTCTTTCTGAAAGTATATCCATTATTGATCAAAGCCAGATATCACCAAATACTTCTCCGAGAACCCCATTAGTTAATCCACGAGTGGCACAGGTCATGAACGACATTGTAAATGAGAGACAGCTGTCTCAACCAAGTACAGCCTCTACAGATACATTCACTGGAGATAACCAAAACCTACAAACTACAGGGCTGATAACAGATTCCAGAGAAAGTGATTTGTTTAGGATGAGCACGACAGAGTCAAGTGATAGTATACTGGTCTTAGATAATGTTGATTTCAGAAGTTTTGAACAGTCGTCTGCTACATCTGACAGAAGCCAGACACAGGTCATGCACATAGTGTCCACCAAAAATGAAAGCTTTTCCATGGTATCTGCAGAACAAAGTTTAAGCTCACTTCCAACCCAGGAGAATGGGGGACCAGATAATGATCTTGGTTTAGTCAGCTTTAATGGATTTGATTCTCTGCTGAACTGTAGGGACAAAGTTGGGGATGAAGATTCAAAGAAAGAATTGGATCTCAATTCATCTGTGGACTCCCCAGGACCACCATACTTCCAAACAGATAGGCATAATTTGTCAGGCAAACCAGATCTGAAGAGCAAAACTTCACACTCTTATTCGGCCACTGACCAGTTGTCTTCTTATAAGGCAGATGATTTGAAGAGTTTTGAAGTGCCAAGAAACTCACTCGAATGGTGGCCAGAAGAAAGTTTAAAGTCAAAAAGGGGACTATCTTCACAAAATGATGAATCTTATATTTTGCCAGACACTGTGGGTACTTCCCTAAAAATAGACAGTAGCAAGTCCATAAATTTTTCTGCTGGGATTAGCAGTATTCCAAACACTTCAGTACAAGAACAATCTTTTGTGGAAGTTCAAACAGATTCCAATTCAATACCATATCAACCTTCAGCAGGGCATACCAATCAGACATTTTCTGCTTTAAAACCAAGTGATTCAGTTCCAAGACTTCACAGTGATAATGTTAGGAATGCAAGTGTTGTAACAGAACAGATGGATGTTACTGGTGTGTCTGGAGATTTACTACTACAGGAATTGCCATCCAATATGCAACAAAATGTTGAAAGTGATTCAAACTTATTTGGAATTGGGAAAGAAAGTAGTGGAGAACAATCCCCGGACAAATGGAGTTTTTTAAAAACAGAAGAGACAAAATATGAAAAGACACAGTCTGCTGTCATGCAGACTCTGAAAGACTTTGTCTCTGTGCATGGTCAAATAGGTCATGACAACATAGAGGATGTGTCAAAACTACTCACAGATGTTTTGACAAATGAAAGTCCTCTGCAGAATGTATCGGAAAAGAGCCAGGAAGTGATGGAAACCAGGTCAGAAGTTGTTCAAACCCCAGATAGCCAGACCTATGTCATGGAACCCAGGCAAGGCAGCCAACCTGAGGAGTCCCAGACTGAAGAGATGACTGAGGAGAATTTAGATGAAGATGATGATTTAGATTTAGAGGAAGGAGCATCCACACAGAAAAGAGACACACAAGAATATGAAGTGATGACATTGGGCCCAGGACACTGTCAGACAATCCCAGTATCAACTGTGCAGTTAAAGCTTCTGTCTATGATGGATGGAAAGTCTGTTCTAAAGAAAAAATATGATGTCTTTGTCCAGGAAAATCTGCAAGACAAGGCTGTAGTTTTACAGGGAATGATTGAGAACATTAACTTGGCCATCAAATCAATCCAAAACAATGATTGGCTTGCTGGATTTTCCATGAAGGTGACACAATTGCACCCATTACTAATACATTTATTGAGTTTGGATGAGGTAGAGTCTTTCCTAGACCATGAGAAATTGAGTGGTTTGGGATGCAGGTATTGTTGGCTTCCTTTGACCGAGGAGAACCATCTGGTACTGTATGCAGACACAGAGCAAACAGCCCAAACTGTGCTTAACACCATACTGCAGAATGTTGTGCTGAGAAGCATAGCCAAACCCAAAGACTTGCAGCAGTTAAGTCAGAAAATAAGTGAATTGATGCAAAAAAATGATGGGAAAATTGTTTGTTGTGAAGACGAAGAATTCATCCATATTGCTTTTTGCAGTAATTGGACAGAAGATGTAAATCAGTGTCTGAAATCTTTGGAAGTGAAAGTTAAAGCAAAGGAAACTGAAAAATTTGTTGAAATTGAAGAGGATGTGTTTGAGTACATAAAGAGATGGAAGATGCCAGACATAGAGAAAATGGCAAGTAGCCAATCTGTAGGAATAGCAGAAGGACCAGGGACCACTCCTGGAATTGTTGTTATGGGAACACAGGAGAACATCAAAGCTGTTGCTAACTTCATTTTGGATTTGATTAAAGAGATCTCCAGTCAAAGAATTTCCATCAAATCACAAGAAGCATGTGAAATTATCAAAATGAACAATTTTGCACTCATTAAGTACTTAGAACGGCATCACCGTAGTTCCATTAAAGTGGAACATTCAGGAATATATCAGAGGGATTGGAGATTAAATCCTTCAGGATGGAGGTCACAGGATGTACGGTTTCCTGTGTTCAGAATTGAAGGTCAGATAGAAATCCAGATTTTCTGTGGGGATGCCTCTCAAACAGATGCTGATATGGTTGTGGAACCTGCTGATAGATTGGAGAATACACCATACGGTATTTACTGTTAAAGTTCACTACATATGATCCTTAAGATTTGAATACTGTAGGTATTTAAGATAATAAAAGATGTGAAGTATGTGTAAACTTTAAATTTTTAAATAGACATTCTTATTAAAAAATTCTATGGTGTATTAGAGAGGGGAGAAATAACTGTATTGATTGAACACTCATAATTTTAGCATTTGTAAAACATTTTATAGAGAATTAACTCGTGCTTAATCATGTTAATGGAGTTTATAATACCCAATAATTATTTCTGTATAGGTTGCTGTCGATTTCTGTATATAGAGAAACAAAAGAAGAAAGCCGCTAAGGTAATTGTTCCAAAGTGGAACATGGGGAAAGGAAAAGAAAAACATGAGCTGATGGACATGCTGGTGGAGATGTTTGAAGATCTTCAGAAACATAGGTTTACATCAGTAACCTTTCCCATCAGGAACTTTAAGGACTGGCCACATGAAAAGTTAACCAAGGCCATCATTGTCGCTCTACAGACACACATAGAAAAATCTGGGGCTCACTGTAATCTCCAAGTAAGTTTACGAGTTGTAACAAGAAAGGTGAAAATATATGGCTGGACTGGGAATTGAACCCGGCACCCCTGCATCACTAGTCAGGTGCTCAGAGCTACCAACTGAGCTATCAAGGCTGATATCCTTGCCCCAAACCATTACTTTCCTCCCTCCTTAAATTGTCGTCGCCATTGAAGACACAACTCAACTTCTTATTTTCCCCCTGGCAGGACTTCACCTGCAAGTTCAGGGGTGGTCAACAGCACCAAATTATGGAACAGAAAAGGAGAAAATGTATGACTGGACAGGGAATTAAACCTGGTACCCCAACATCACTAGTCAGGTGCTCTACCAACTGAGCTATCCAGGTTGATATCCACGGTCCAAACCATTACAGAGTAAAATGGGTTTCCTGAGATGATTCATTGTTGAATGTACAACATTTGGGCAAATTCAAGGTCACAGTTTCTAGTCCAAAACTCATGGAGAAATATTAGTAATTTATACATGACACAAAGATTGCTTATGGCCTGAAAATATGTCATGATCTTGAACAAAGTTCATTTGGGCATGTTCAAGGTCATCGGAAGAAAAGTGTAAAATTCATGTCAGGTCCATATCTATCAAATGGAGAAACAATGGAAGCTAATACTTCACACAAAGATTACATATGACCAGGGGCTGTGTGATGACCCTGAACCAAGGTCACTAATAGAATACTGTTTATTCCTCTCCTGGCCATATTTTGTAATGGAGAAGTATTAGAAATTCATTCTGAACACAAAATTTTTTATTAGCTGAGGATGTGTTATGACCTTGACTCTAGGTCACTTTGGCAAGTTGTCACTGGAAGGAAAAAGTATAAAATTCATGTCAGGTCCATAACTTGTGTAAGACAAACATTGGATGAAGCACTTTAATAAAAAATGCAGCAGGACTGTAGGAGATATAATTCTGTTTTTTACTCACAGTGGCTCTGGTTACAGTTTCAGCGTAACCAAGGTGTCAAAAATTATGAGATTACAACCATATTAGGTAACAGGGAGTTAAGCATGTGAAATTATTAGCTGGATTTTTGTTTTGCTTTATTTAGATGTGTTTAATGTCTGATGTCCTTCTTGTTCTATGCATACAGGTGGTTACTCTGTGTGACCCAGAGAAAGAGATCTGTAATCAGATCTGTAAGGTCTGTAGAAATGCCACGGGGGATAGGATCATAGAAACTCCTCCTCAACCACAGAGAAAGACAAAACAGGGACTTACTCTAAAGCTCATTAAAGGAGAAATAGCTAAACAAAAGGTAACTGAAATTACATATTGCAATTTGACATGAAACTACTGATAAGTACTTGTGTTATATAGGGATTTAGTAAATGTGTGAAATATTGCATAACTGTTTAACTTCAGCAATTTAATGATAATTAAGACAGCATTTTTAACTGAATTTTAAATGGGTAATCTAAGTTATGAAGTAGGGCTTTTAGAGAATTAAATGTAAGGGAGATTTCAAAAGGTAGGATCTGATTATACCCCCAACATCCACAAATCTTTTTTTCCAGTTGCCACTGTCTACTTTATTTATCTTAATTTGAGGACATAAGCAGTGTAGTTTGGAAATTCATTTACTTATATCCTGTATATTATGGAATTATCATTGTTCGTGGGGGATCAGTGTTCATGGATTTCATAGGTCACCTTTATCCATAAATTTACATCCCCACGAATGTTTATTTTGTAAACATATTGATTCATTGAATCTTCAATATAAACAAGTCACCCACAAAATTATGTCCCCACAAACGAGTAAAATTTTGCTTGCCCATGAACATTGACCTCCCATGAATTAAAATGATTCCACAGTAATTTAAGATTTCCAATAATTAAAGACCTTTGTGTGACTCATATTAATGCCTAATGAAGCTGATGTAATGAGCTCTTCTAAATAAGTTTTGATGAAATACCAGTTAACTATACTTTTGTTAATTTTCTTTGAATATAATAAGGATTTTCATCATTTGATATTTGTTTAGAACCTATAGTAATAAATGCTGATTATCTATATAAGAACATCTGATGATACTATGATTATATAAATCAAGAATATCTTGAAAAATCATCAGTGGGAGAGGAATGTCGTTAGGTACAATATATGTGTACATTTACATAGCATATAACCAAACAGAAATGAAAACTTTTTGGAAAATTATATTTGATATAATATTAACCCTTTCTATGCTGTACAGATTCTGAACATACATCATAATATGCACAAATTTTGTGCGCAAGAGCAAGGGTTAAGAAAAATTGAAATAATGAAAACTAATCATCCCCCCTCCTGACGTATGCAAGCATTGAATTCAAGAAAAGATGTCTTTATAGAATAATACAAATAATAAAATTATGTAAACAGACTTTATATAATTTTTCTGTTTGTTCTTGAGGTGATTTACAAAACTACTTTACATAATATTATCCCTCTTAGATGGTCTAATGATTTTATATCCTAAATTATTTGACAGACAGATGTAATTGTTAACACAACAGCCAAGAACTTAGACCTAAATTCAGGAAAGGTCTCCAAATCAATTCTTCATAGAGCAGGCAAGGGGATTCAGGATCAGTTAAAGAATTATAGCCCAAGGGGAATAACTCCTGGAGATGTTGCTGTGACTCGGGGCTTTAGTCTTGACTGTAAGTTTGTTTATCACGGAGCCCTGGAATTCTGGCCTCAACTGCATGCTGCTGAATCTGAGAAGAGCCTGTGTTTAGGGGTAATATCAACAACTCACATGTACAGATTTTCTTTATCTATACTTTTCATAATCCAGGAGAGCTTTTGTGATGTTGTATAGTATTTGCATCTGTCTGTCTGCTTGTCTGTAAACAATATTTCATTGCACTTCTTACAGATTTCAATAAATTATTTTTAAAAAGTTGGAGCACCTGTCCAATAGACCATGTCAAGATATGTAATTTTGTATATTAGTCTCTGGTGGAAAGTGTTGCCGTGGAATCCCCCCCCCCCCCCCCCCCCAAAAAAAAAAGAAGAAAATTTAATCTTTCATTCTTGAAAATACTACTCCTTTATGAATTTCAATATAATTTGGTCACACAACTACATAATTCTTATTCTTTTTCATGGTTCTTTGATTTTGATTAATTTTCATCTGAATGCATGATAGCTAACAATAGAACAATTAAATCTCTTAAATCTTTCAATACGCTTTAATTTCCTCTTGCATTTTACGTGTATAAAGTGAACTACATTAAAATACCAGCTGATATAATGTATGAGTTTTTAATTTGTCTGAAATGTGTTACCATGGTACAAAACATAGGAGAAAAAACTGTGACAAATTTCAAACAATACTATAAAATCTATAAATGAGGAAATGTCCTGTTTTGGAGAAAAATGTAAACCAGTGAAAAGGAAATGATCCAAGTGCAACTGTTCCTATATTATTGTAAATTCAGACCAGTAGAGCTACAGTCTCATCAGACAACTTTTGATTAACCATTGCCTCATATTGTATGTCAAGTGTTATTTAAGAGAAAGGTATTATCCAACAGCAAAAACAGATGTTTAAATTTTACATGTATGTGCTTGACATACATACAAACTGTTTTTGTTAAATATTTTAAAAGATACATGTACATGTTTGTTTTGTATGTATGAATTTATATTTCAAATTAAAGTACTCTTAGATTTATGTAAAAATCAAACAATTTTTATTTACATGTAGATACTGACAAAGTTTGTGGAGGAGTGTTTGAAGCAAGCAGACCAGAAGGGCCTGAATGACATCTCGTTCCCGGCTCTAGGATGTGGGACGCTCAACATGCCTCCAGCTAAAGTGGCACAAATCATGTTCAGAGTCTTTAAACAGTTCGAGGAGAAAAATCCCTTTTCTTCACTGAAGGAGATAAACATTGTTATATATCCTGATGATAGAAATATTTTCAGGGTAATGTATTTTATTTAATATATAATAGTAATTAGCATCATATACCTTTAATATAGTTGTATTTGGTAATTGCAATGATGATCTGCCCAAATTTATTATAATTCAGTTTTACAGTGTTTTATTAACTATTCAATTGAAATGATGACAGGAATTCGAAAAGGAACTGAAAAAATACAACCAACAGGAAGCCAAATCTCCTCCAAGAGAAAGGACCCCACTAACACGTCAGATCAGTCTCCCCACATCAAGAGTGTCAGGTTTGAATAAATTTCCTTCAGTATATATATACATGTAATTGTATTTTGTACAAAGCATGACAGACACATAGGGATCACTTTATCTGCCAGCTATTAATTAATTTGTCATGCTTTTACAAACCAAAGTCAGAACTCTCATTTAGCGATGCACTGTGAAATCACTAATATTCTTGTTGTTTTAATTTTCGTTGTTTTCGGGGTATAAAGAAAACCACAAATTTATGTCCACCACGAAATGTAAAATGTCAAACAAAAAACTACTCAACAATTCTTCATCCACAAAATAAAATCCCGACGAACCCATAGCTTTACATTAAACCACAAAAATTTGACCCCACGAAAATATGTGATTTTACAGTACATGTAAATGATCTTAAAGCTTAAGAAAACATCAATTTAAGGTCCTTCAATATAGATACAATTTTATATCAGAGGTACACTTCTATTTTTACACATAAATAGTCTTGAAATTCAAATATTAATTACTTAGGTTTTGCTTAATGGAATATAAGGACTGTCACATGTAGAAGCAGACAAGAAGGTATCCCTTAATCATATTGACAATAAGGTAAACATGCTGCTGATGGTACAAGTAGTTGTTTGCAATAATTTGGAAGTGTTTGAATGTGTAGGGTAAAAAATGATTAACCACTCTTATTCCTCTATATGTATTAGGTTACAGGGAAACTTCCCATCTGCTACTGTTATCGCAGATATCTAGATGTATTGGGTATTACATTAATTAGCAGCAAAAAAATTATACGTCTATTTCCATGATATCAGGATTATGTATTGTAAAAACTGAATAAATATTTTTAAAGGCATTTGATACAATGGGAATATTAATGCAAAAGCTTTCTCTTGTAAATTTCCATGTTTACAGGGATATGTTTTTTAATTTTGGCATTGAAAGCCATCAGAAACAAGGTGTGTTTGTGAAACACTGATGCCCCCATATGGCAATTTAAAGCGAAGGTTAAACTTTCTCAAATGCAAATCAAATATGTTGGTACCCAAAGTAAGGTCTTGTACAGAGGAATATACCTGAGAAATATGAAAGCCCTAGCAGCAACCATTGAAAAGATCTGGAAAAGGTTAAAGTTTTTCAAAAGTAAGTCAAAATCAAGGTCAAGGTCAAAATTAATGGTGCCCAAGGAAATGCCTTCTCACAAGAAATACACATGTGAAATATGAAAGCCCTAGCACCAACCGTTTAAAAGATATGACCAAGGTTAAAGTTTTTCAAAAGTAGGTCAAACTCCAAAGTCACGGTCAAAGGGTCAAAGTTGTTGGTATCCTAAATAAGGTCTTGTCACAAGGATTGCATATGTGAAGTATGAAAGCCCTAGAACCAACTGTTAAAAAGATATGGCCAATGTTAAAGTTTTCAGAAGTAGGTCAAACTCAAGGTCAAAGGGTCAAAGTTGTTGGTATCCAGAAAAAAAGGTCTTGTACCATGGATTACACATGTGAAGTATGAAAGCCCTAGCATCAACTGTTCAAAAGTTATAGCCAATGTTAAAGTTTATCAAAAGTAGGTCAAACTCAAAGGTCAAGGTCAAAAGGTCAAAGTTGTTGGTATCTATCCAAAGAAAGGTCTTGTCACAAGGATTACACATGTGAAGTATGAAAGCCCTAGCGTCAACTGTTCAAAAGTTATAGCCAATGTTAAAGTTTTTCAAAAGTAGGTTAAACTCCAAGGTGGTCAAAGTTGTTGGTTTCCAAAGGAAGGTCTTGTCACAAGGATTACACATGTGAAGTATGAAAGCCCTAGCACCAACCATTCAAAAGTTATGGCCAAGGTTAAATTTGGGAAAAATTTTGTAAAACTGGGTCAAACTCCAAGGTCAAAAGGTCAGGTATGATGGTACCCAAAGAAAGGTCTTGTCACAAGGAATACACATGTGAAATATGAAAGCCATAGCTCCAACCAATCAAAAGTTATGAGCAATGTTAAAGTTTTTGTGGACAAACAGACAGACAGACAGATGGACGGACAGGGCAAAAACTATATACCCCCGAATCTTTGATACGGGGGCATAAAAATAGCTTATCTTGAATTCTGATAGCTTTCTATTATATAAAACAAATCGTATATTTTTTTTCCTTTGGCAGTGTTGGCCCAGCCTAACACAGCAGAATTCTCATGTCATGTGGATGGGATACACGTAACAGCAGCATTAGGGGACATTACTAAGCAGGAGGGATATGATGGTCTTGTCAGACTCTTTACCAGTGACAATCCATTCCTTACTGGTTAGTGTTAAATTTATGCTGTTACACATGCATTTTACCAATCATCAAAAGATTTAATATTGGGCATAAAAATAACTATTGATAATATGAGTACACCTGTGCTTACTTGTTTTTTGGATGAAAGTTAAATTTATTACTCATTGAGACTATTACATATACAGTTTTATTTTGTTGTTTTTTTTTAATTTGTCTGACCAACTCTGTTTTTTTTAGTATTGAAACTAGAATTCTTTATGTCAATTTAAGTTTAGCTTTGTTACATATAAACATGTTTTAGTCTTGGCTGTTAAAAGGCCTTGCCAATGTATTAAATTGGGGGTGGTACTTTGAATTTAGTTCTCATATGGCGCTTAACTGAAGATCTCAAGTTGACAAGTACAAGTAGACAATTTTTATTGTCTGGGGAGTGGAAATTGATACAACTATAGTCAGCAGGATTTACTTCCCTTTGGAGAAATAAGAAAGAAAGGACATACATGTACTAACTTATAATGTTTAAGTGAAAAGCATGTCTTTTGAACTTTCATTATCTACATGAACAGGCAAATGATTGATTTTTTTTTCTTTTTGATATAGATACAAGTGATGATCCTGTGCTTAAGGGTATTTCTTCTGATACTATCAAACCAAAAGGTAATATTTATGGCCTAGTTTTAATTGTAATTTAATATTGTGTATTTAATTGAAAAGTTTTAATCTTTCTAGTAATTTATACTTGAATTTCAAGGAAAATTGAAAAATTATTATGTTTTATTACGTTGCATAAAAGGTAACTAATTTAGATGTATATGTATACCGTTTGCAGAAACAATCTCTATGTCATTCAGCAAGAACTTTGTGACACCTGCTGGAGACCTGCCCCAGAAAAAAATCATTCATGTTCACACCAGCCCAGATAAATTACAGGAAGCTCTCCTTATAGCCTTTAGAACAGCAGAGAAAGAGGAAGGCATCAAATCCCTTATCATACCAGTCAGGTCAAATGGTAGGAAGAAATAATTTTTTTTTACATCTCAGCTTTGACGAAGGGAATCATTGTTTTACTCTAAATTTTTCTTTTCATATATAATATTCATGCTTTGACAATAAAGTTTGTACATTTAGCTTATAGAGGCCAGACATTTTTTTTTCACCAAAAACTTATGATATTTGGTATGTGGATGTTACATTAAAAAGATGTGAAGGGGATTATGTATGTCCTAGCTAGTGTACAAGAATAATAGGAATCATATATATGTAGGACTCCAAAGTCCGATGGTGACGCCAAAGTCCGATGGTCTCGCCAAAGTCCAATGGTCTGCACCAAACCCCGATGGTTTGACGTCTGTACGGATGCCAAAGTCCAATGGTCACTCTAAATTCCGATGGCTCATTTCCTATGATACATGTGCGCTAAAGTGCAATGGTCTGACACGCCAAAGTCCAATGGTGCAGAGAAACAATTAACGTTTATGATGTCACAATATTCTGATATCAATCCTCAACGCCATAGTCCGTAATTCAAAACCAATAATTTAGGATGAGTCATCGAATACCATTTGACTGATTTTACTTAATGTTTGCACTCACCTGAGTTATTAGGATTAGTCCTTGCACACCACTTGGCTGATAAGCATTAGTCCTTGTGCACAATTACACCGATTATAGGATGGGTTGACACCCACCTATGACATTAAGGTTAATATTTGTACACTATTCTATTGAATAGTTTTAGTCTCACAGCCAAAAAGAGGTTCGACTGATGAGGGTTAGTTTCTCTCCCATCCAGGATGTTACAGACCTTTTGACCGATCAGGGTTAACCTAGCACCTATCGAAGAGATTAGGCGTCAGCCTCACACCCTTCCGAAAGATTAGGGTAAGCATTGCAGCGATCACAGAGATTAGGGTTAGCCTCGCACCCATCCGAGAGGAAAGGGTTAGCCTCGCAACCACTTAAGAAGTTATGGCTAGTACGTGGTACAATAAATTTTTTTGCGTTTTCTTTTAGTGAACCATATTACTTTGGCATTTAAATACTTATATTCATTTAATTTATTTTAAACTGTTTTACCTTGGCTTGGCGCAGCATCCCAATTTGGCACAGAAGTACTATGACGTCATAAACAATGATTATTTTTCTGTGCTATCGGACTTTGTCGTGTGAACCATCGGGGGTTTGGCGCAGACCATCGGACTTTGGCGTGACCATCAGGCTTTGGAGTCCCATCGCACTTTGGAGTCCTACATAAATATATATATATATATATATATATATATATATATATATATATATATATATATATATATATATATATATATATATATATATATATATATATATCATGTGTAAGGCAAAGTGAATTTTATGAAGTTATTTAAATGCCCAATTTCCATCAGACTCGATGGGATAGTGTGGAGAGTACTAGTCTTACATGGTGAGGGTGTCGGGTTTGATTACCAGCTTTGCCACACAGTTTCTCATTAACTTGATAAAACTGTCTATTAAAGTATAACAAGCTAAGCACCAAGGGGTACATCATATCAGCAAACCTCATACATCTATGTTCAAAGTTCAACAGACATTAAACTCTTAAAATTTTTTTTTAAAGAACATGGCAAAATGCTAATTTGCAAAAACTGAAGCCTCACCTGCTTTCATATGGACTCAAATGTTTGTCCCCCGTCCTCCCTTTCAATTATTTTGTCAAATACTGTTTCTAATTTATGAAATCTAATCTGTTGCATGTTTTTACCATTATTTGGGCCTGATTGAGATAGAAATGCCCCCTCTTCTTGTCAGTAAAATGTTAATTAATAATTTGGAAAGTTTCGGAGAAAAATTTATTGGACAAATGATTTTTGAGAATTTTTTTGTAATAAAATGTTATTATACTGTCTTGATAAAGGATCAGTGCACTTAACCTATGAGAGTTGGATCCCGGTGCTTTGCCAATAATAAATTTCCGAAATTTATAATTTTTTTGAATCAGAATTATTAAACAATATCTTAAGAGCAGGGTTTGATATATTATATCACATAAAAATATTAAATAATGCCGAGCGACAGTGGTTTTTGCGACGGGTCTAGCAGTTTTGTCACATTTCTATTGTTATTCATATGCATACCAGTTTTCAACGACATTGTTTACATCGAGCCGCAACTTGTCCATTCTTCTCATTTGCACAGAATGTGTATTTTGATTTAAACTTATACATATCCAAAGGGCAATGTTGGACAATTTGCGGCTCATATGTAATTTTTTAAAAAATTCTCCAAACTACGCCCAGGTTAGCTACTAAATTAACAGGTCACCGAGTGTCAACCTATTTTGACCTGTTTGATATTATAATCACTTTACTCACGTGACATTCCACTGTTCGATATGCTTTCATTGTGTCCATCAATGGACTGACTATGTGTAGACTTTTAATACGGTGAATCCTAAGATTTTTCGAATCTTATAAAACTGTATTAAGAATAGGGCAATGCGCTATTTCTTAATACAAATCTTAACTTACCTTTCATTTTTAAACCAATCAAAAGTACTCACATTGTGGTCATCCTATATTTATCATAACAAAAAAGCACGTGGTAAATAATGGTCGACTTTAGCAGAAAAAATATAGAAAAACTCGTTGTTTTATGGGAAGAAGATCAAAAGGAGTAACTACATGTAATTGTTAAAGTTGCTCAAATGCTGCATTATCTATTCTAAAGAAGTTTTTATAACTACTGGGGTCTTCTCTTTGCACCTCATCTAGCGATGCATGTGTGCACCAAGTACATATACGAGTGTTCCGCCGCTGTTTCCATTACGATGGGTTTTTTTTTAGTTTTAATGCAATGCTTAATACGATAGCAGATATTTCTAACGGTAACGGGACGTTTCGCCCCTATTGACGTTTCGCGCCGAGACCATTCGCCCCTAAAGACGTTTCGCGCCGAGACCTTTCGCGCCCAATTTAATCTACATTGTCTACAACCATATATTACGATGTTTTAAGATAAATATTTATATATAAGGTTAATATTGACTGTTTAAAAAAAAGTTCTAAGGTTATTAAAATACTTTTATGTCTTAAAAGTTGTTGAAAATAGGCTTATACCATAATTAAATGTATAATTATCCATGTGCAGATATAATTATATTTATTCAGCAATCATAATTGTCTGATTCAGTTTTGTAATTAAGGTGTTATAACTATAATTTGCTGTTAACAAGTGATAATTACCACATAATTGATTAATTGATCTTCGGCGCGAACCGTCTTGGGGCGAAACGTCTCAGCACGAATGGTCTTTGGGGGCGAACCGTCCCGCACTCTTTCTAACAGAACGTCGTTTTCCATTATTGAGAGAGAGAGAGAGAGAGAGAGAGAGAGAGAGAAATATTGCGAGGGAAACACGTAGAAATCCCTAAAGTCTTTTAACAATGTAATAAAACGTATAAACGTGTGTACAGGAAAGTATTATAATACAAATATAATACTTGTATTATACAGTAACTACAAATCTCACCGTTTGTACCGGCCAGAACAATTTCAAAATAATGAAGAATTTTTGCAAAAATTTTATTAGGGTCTTAAAGTTTACCTTGTCTTCTTTCACTAAATTGTGTTTTTCGTTTGGTATTTTGAAGGAAATTCTGGTACTGCCAGTGCAAATCAAGTGCACGATTAGTATGTAGCTGTGTTAGCTCATGTCCCCTCTGTATTATGGTCTGCAGGCATCTACAGACACATCCCTAGACACTAGTATCATACCTGACAATATTTGGATTGCCGAAATGAAAGAGATATTGGAAGACATATAAGCAAGTGATTATCGATATAGTAACGTTGTAGAATTTTCGTTGACCATGTTTTTTAATCTGAAATATACTCGTTCCATCAATAAAATGTTAATTTAAATTACAGATAGTTTGTATTTCTTGGAGTTTTTATGTTAACCTAGTGACTCAAATTTTAAGTTAAAATTTTATATTTCATTTCCGAATGTTATTTATCTATACATGCATATAATAAAATATGTATCACCGTGAGTACTACATACATGTATAATTTGTTTCACTACACATTTGTATTACTCTACGTACTACATGTACAGTGAATTATGATTAAATGTAGTGTGACATCGATGCCATGTACATGTGAATCATTCTTAAAACATACATTCATTCTTTGAATTGAAAAGCATTCAGCATATAAAACGAAAAATGATAAAGCTAAAGAAAAAAGAGGGGGCATTTTTTATCATATACGAAAACTTAAGATTGATCTAATTCGGTGCTAGACATCAAACATATGGTTACGAATCATGAAAATGATCAATATGTATGGCCATGAATCATTTATTATTTGTGTGAATCATGAAACTACAAAATCTTTCTCTCCTCCATTTAAATTCATACTGTAGAATCAATCTGAAAATAATGTGCAAATGTTTACATTCCACTTCCATGCGATTTAAATATCTCCGCCCATTTGCGGGTACCTTAAATTCGAAAGTGGTCCAGTTCAAATTTCCGGAATTTAAGGCTTATACATGTTCTTTTCAATGACGTTGTGTGGAATTATAACAATATGTTTAATAAAAAATTCGAAGTATAAATATCAAAAGCATATGTATGCACAATAATCATAGATTAATTTAGCAATATAGTCTAAATTAAGGAGGTTGGATCCTACCATCAAAAGTAATGAGAATTTTTTATCAAGTATATTTTTAGAATTTATACACATAGCTTTATTAAAAATCAAAACAAAAAATGGGGGTCAATGCGCTTCTTTTGGCGCTACAGAGCATTTAGTTTGACCTTTTTGCACTGTAAATACGTCTTACACATAAATCAATTTTTAAAGTTTTTCCTTCAATATTTTTTGTTCAAATAAATTATGGTGAACAAACACAGTCTTATTTCATCTTAAATAGACACATTAAAATTTGTAACAACGAAGAAATTTTCGAATTACTCCGCATGTTCAATTATTTGACCTTTTTGCACTCAAACATTCTCATTTTTCTGGCATTAAAATTTAACAAGCAAAAAAAATCATTTGAAAGTAATGACATTTTACTGACTTTAAGAAGAATGGTTAAAAGTATCGTATATATTCAGAAAAGAAAATTAAAAGTGGGGGTCTGTGATGTTAATTTTTAGATATTACTAAAATAGTGCTAATTTTAAGCTTAAATTAGGGCTATTTTTTTCTTCATTTCCATAATATATTTGCTATATTTATCAAATATGATGATAGAATTCATGACAGTTTATTTAATAGATAATTTAGTACCAGTATAAAACAGTCCACTGCACAAAATAACTATGTGTGCAGCCTGCATGTAAAAATAGGAATCCAAACTTAACATACTTTAAATACTTCAAAAGAGAAAAAATGATCATTTTCTTCTAAAAAAACCTTCCGCCACAAAATATAGTTCCTCACTTAATGCTTTTGGTATGGAATTTAATCATGGAGTTTTAACTGAATATAGTTAAATTGGCATTGTAGAATCCAAATTTATTGTAAGAATTAAAACATTATGCAGAATTTTTGAAATATAGGTTAAGATAAGAATCTGCTCAAAAGCTCAGGAGCGAACCTCGTTAAGGCTTAAAATGGGTGGCCGAAAAGGCTCCAAATGACACTCTAAAGTGCACTCATTCTTTACTTCATTTTACAAGTTAATTCACAATTTACTCTATATAAAGCGAAGAAAATCAAAATTTTTGTGTCCCTGCAGCATTATTGATGCCATGTCCTGATGTGTAGCAAAAAGGGTTGTCTCCCTCTGATCATTGTGCTGTAAAATGCTGTTGCCTGGGCAACCTCCATAAGAGCCAAAAACCACTTTGACTGATGTATTCAAATTATATATTTTAAATTTGTGAAGTAAACACTTCACAATTATTTCACTATACCAGTTATACTTCTTGAAGAAAGGAAAATCTCACGAATTAAAAGCTGATGTCTTTATATAGGTCATGACAATTAGAGGTCAGTCTGTGTTACATGTAGAGCTGATGTTACCAACTTTAAATGTATAATCAAACCATCAATGAAAAGTATCTTATTAGAGGACAATTGATTTTGTTTCAGATCCTTTATGTGAGGACTGTAGGACATTTGTGTCCTCAGTATTTCTGGCTGTTTGTAAATTCACCCAACAAAAGAGCCACAGAAGTCAAATTAAAGAAGTTAAGATATGTGTCACCGAGCAACATGCCCTGAACTCAGTCCTTATGGAGCTTCAGTCACACAGTGCACAAGGTTAGTTGATAAATCACTTCTTGATCTTTTGGAGTCTTGGATTGTGGTTTATACATTCCATATACATGTATAGTGTTTTCACTATATAGTATAATTGTACAGAATCTTAGCCAAGCTGAAACATGTATATGTGTTGGAGCTGCAGAATCAATACACCAAATTTGTTAAATAATGATTTTATTATACAGATTTAAAGAGAGCAGAACAAGATGTGACCAGACCAATGGTTCTGAGAGTGACAACAACTAATTCTCATATGGACAGTCTGATGTCAGAGATCAGAAGCATCGAGTTGTCACCAGGAGATCACCTGCAGAAAGCTATGGAAGGAGAATCAGTAATATCCAATGTCACCCAAGATGTGTATGAAGCCTTTCTCTACTTTTACCAAAAAGACTTGCAATCACAACTAACATTCGTAAACATGACATATGATGGTCGAGGGTCACAGATAATTTTGACTGGGCAATTTGAAAAACTTTCTGAAGCTGAGATGATGGTGAAACAAAAGTTACAAGAATTGACAGAAAGAATGCATGTAGATACCATTCCATTACCAAGCCTGGAAAATTCAGTTTTGCAGTCCATGGTGAGCGAAATTCAGCCACAGTTTGAAGAAGCCCTCCTCTTTGTTCCTCTGGCAGAACAGTTCAATGGCATTCATGTTATTGCTTTGTCTTCAGAAGATGCAGAACGAGTAAAAAATTCAACTTTAGAAAAGATTTCACACATTCCAGGAAAGCCTCAACAGGCATTGAAACTTCTGGCTCCTCCAAGGCAACCAATCTCTGTTGATTCCAGAAATGATGTCTCCACATTTATCACAGAGGAAGGTATTCAGGTGTTTGTTTACAAAGAGAACATTCTAGAGCTTCCAGTGGCTTGCATTGTTAATGCTGCCAATGAGTATCTGCAGCATGGATCGGGGGTGGCATTTGCCATACTGCAGGCAGCAGGAGAGGAATTTGACAAGGCATGCAAGGAGCACATAAGGAGAAATAGTCTTGTGAAAGTAGGGACGTGTGCTGAAACAGAAGCAGGCCAGCTACCCTATGCTTGTGTTATTAATGCTGTTGGACCACGCTGGGATCCTTCTAAGGAGAGTCTGTGTAAAACACATCTGCATTCTGCTGTTGAATCAAGCATTGTGAAAGCTGCAGAGTTAGAAATGGATTCCATTGGGCTTCCTGCAATTAGCTCTGGTAAGTGCATCTTCAGCGGAATAAAAATAAAATATAATGTTTGCTTGTAGACTTCCTATTTAAAACTGAACATGATTCGTAAAAAGAATTGTCCGCCATTTTTGATTGGTTTCTCGCTATATGTGAGGGCCCCTATATAAAGCCGCTGACTTGGTCACTGTGTAGTGTAATCAATCGTCACCGGTGGAGACTGACGTATGCTATACAGCACTGGGTAGCGACAAAAAATAACTGTGTACTTCTTCTAATGCAGGAGAGTAAGATACCAAAGAAACTTACAACAGTTGCACAGGTCACTGCAGTATACAAACAAACACAAATACACGTAATTGAATAAAATGTAAACAAAGGTGATGTAAGATAAACAGCACGAACACAAGTCGCCATTCCACACTGACACCCGTGACAATAAAGCAGTCAGGTGTAACGAATGCGAAGAGTATACCCCAGTGCTGATATCGTAGATAGTAATATCTAAAATGGTGTATGTCTATTTACTAGCCATGTTCAGCTTTAAGAGTATGTATATTTAAGAGTATGTACTTGAAAAGATCAAAGTTCCTATTCTACAGAAATTTAGTACAGGTAATGGTAAAATGTAAATGAAATGCATTATCAACAATAAATAATTTGTATGCTTTAAAGATTATATTCTTTTGAATACTTTAAACATATTTAAATTAGCAGTAATAACATTTTGGTGACTTTTTTCACTGCCATTTGTCTACTTATTTATATTTATGCTATATTTGATTAAAACTTGTATGTATCGACAGTTATCACTGTTAGAACTCTAGTGTGCTAATTTATGATTACTCAAATCAGATGAATTAAGAGAACAATTGTGCTAAATTTTGTACATTGAAAGTATTTTTTGAAAAAGACATTTTTATACCCTCGTATTCACAGATTTAGGGACATATATTTTTTGGTCTCCATCCATCTGTCTGTTTGTTTGTCCACAAAAACTTTAACTTTGGCCATACCTGTTGATTGGTTGGGATAGGGCTGTATTTGACATGTACATGTATATTCCCCATAAGAACATTCTTTGAGTACCAATATATTTGACTTCTTGACCTTGGAGTTTGACTTACTTTTGAAAAATTCTACCTAACTTTTGAATGTTTGGCATGAAGGGTTTCAAGCTACATTATGTATTTCTTGTGGCAAGTCCTTTCCTTGGGAACCAATTTTTTGAACTGTTGACTTAATTTGACCTTTTCAATGCTTGAGCTAGGGCTTTTATATTTTACCCTTTTTTTGGGAGGGGGTGCTTGTATATGGAACAAGTTATGATTGTATGCTCATTTTTAATTGATTTCTGCAGGTATATTTGGAATGCCAGTTGAGTTGTGTGCATATCAATATGCATATGCTGTGATATCAGCCAGTGCCAAAATAAAAGGATCTTCACTGAAGGAAATCCACTTCATAGACATGGATGAACATGTGGTTTTCATTATGAAGCAGATTTTTGCCTATGTTTTTAGTGGTCAAAGCTACTTCATTTCCCTCTCCGTCAATTCTGCCTCAGTCCGGCCCATTGGCAATACTACACCAACAGAATCCGGAGCTTCAGGGATTGAGGGAAGATTTTCTGCAGGTTTTCCAAAATCAAGCACTTATGAAAGAGAAGGTGTGGTTTATCATGAATATTTGCTGTCTAATGACTTCTCTGTGCAAGTTTACACTGGAAACATTATAAAATCCAATGCAAATGCACTAGTTTGTTTCGAAGACAAGAACTTTAAACATGAAGGGGAGATCTCTAGAGCTATTGCAGACTTAGGCGGAATAGAATTCCAAAATAAAGTAGAAAAATGCAAAAGCAGTCCCAGCAGGCCTGGGGATGTTTTTGTGGTGGAAGCAGGGAGGAATTTTGATGAGACTGTTTACATATTTATGGTGATATCTCCTGTGTATGATGAAGCTTCCTCAGAAGAAGAATGGCTGCGAAATGTCACTGATTGTCATGCCAAGATTTTACAAGAAGCTTGCCAAAAACAGGTCTACAACATTGCCATGCCTTTGATTGGAACAAGTAAGTTAAAATATAGTCAAACCTTGTTATCTCAACTCGAAGAGACCAAGAAAATACTATGAGATATCCGAGGATTCAAGATATCCAGGGTAAAATACTTGTTAATAAGGAATAGGCAGTTGGGATTTCAAAATGACTTCGACATATCCATGGTATTCGAGATATCTGTGTTCGAGATATCGAAGTTCATCTGTATTTAAATATTTTTCTTCAAGATTTTGTTGAAGTCTAATTATGCACATAATTATATATTTAAGTTTTACATCCATGAATTTTTACTATCTATGAAAATTTAACAAAGAAATTGTAAATTCTTTGGTGATCTACAAGCAAATTTCAGCTGCTAATTTACTTACCAGCAAGTTAAAAACCAAAACTTAAATTACTTATTAAATAGATAATTCATAATTTTTTTATGCCCCATAAAATGGCCAGGGGCATATAGTGTTACCCTGTTCGATCATTCCCTCATCATTGACTTTCTGATCATTATCTCAGCAACAGTTGCACATATTCAACTCAAATTTGACATATGGATATGTCAGGATTACCCAGGTCAAGCATGATCCAATCATTTTTGACAGAGTTATCCCTCTTGAACTTAGAAAAAAATTAGAAATTTTCAGTTTCCGCTCTGAAATTGCATATGCAGGTATTTTATCAAACATACAGGTCAAGTTCAAATTTGGTCCTGGTCCAATGATTTTTGACAGTTATCCCCCTTGAACTTGGAAAAGATTTAAAACTTTACAATTTCTAATCATTATCTTGACTACAAATGTGCAATTTACAATTTGCAGTTTGAAAATTTGACTGCCTGTGGCAGTTTGGGCATTCGTGACGTTACAACACATCTAGTTCCTTAACATTTCCTTGTCAGATTATGTCCTCAAATATGAAACTTTAGATTCCAGGAAGAATTTATATGAACGTTTGTAACTTATCTAAAAATAAATTTAAACTTAGAGGAAATCCCTTTTCAAGAGTAGGAATATTATGATGTAATACTTGGACTTCCTGAAGAAAAGATTATACATAATATATTATATATTATAATCAGCTGTTCAAAGCAGAATTATCAGAAAAGTGTCCATAAACTCCGTACATATAAATAGATGATAAGGAAGTTTCAATTTTTCAAATCAATCCTAAATATATTTTTAGAATGAAAACTTAACCAAAATTCTGGTTGAATGTAAATTGTGTTTGAAGTTGTTGAAGTTTCATGTAAGTTTTCTGAAGCATATATTTTATCTGAGTTTCTACCCTATTTTTGTAAAAAATGAAATTTATTTTCACTTCTGATTTTCAGATGAAAGTTCCTCAGAAATCGTGTCAAGTGATTTAGTGAAACAACTAACTGACTTCATTAACACAAAACCATTTGATTGTCAATTGAAGTGTATCCACATCGTCAGTTCTAATGATGAGACAACTTTAGTGGTGACAGAATCATTAGATGTATATGTAGGCGAGGAGAGAGACAAAATAAAAAAAATGATGAAACAAAGTGAGAACCACATCGCTGGTGGCAGTGTTGAAGAAGTTGCAATGGACGTGGAAGAAGATGGCCCGCCAGATTTCGAGGATGATACAGAACCAAATCAGATGTCTGACGTCTATTCAGCGAAGCAGATGACATCTGCTACAGGCAAAGAGGACCCTCAATGTGTGATATGTTTGGATTCAGTGGGTGAGGACCATGAAACTCTGGAGAAGTGTAGACATAAATTCTGTAAGCCCTGCATAGAGAGACAGTTCAAACACAAACCTGTTTGTCCCACTTGTGGAGAAGTTTATGGGATTGTGTATGGAAACCAGCCTAAAGGCACCATGTCAGTTACAACAACCAGCCAAAGTATCCCTGGATTTCCAAATTATAATACACATGTCATAGTTTATGATTTCAAAGAAGGTGTACAAGGGGTAAGGATATGGTGCAGTTTATTACATAAAATACATTTTACAGAATTAGCTATTAGAGGAAGTTTCCTTTGAAGGTTTCAAATCACTTTGAAAAATATCTATATAAAATACATACAGTTTACCTAGTATGTGTGTCAGTCAACACGTTGATATGCATTAGATGATAATCATTTCAGTTGATTTTTTTTTGGTACAATTGGCATGATCAGAGAATAAAGTATCAAAGATTTACATGTAATTAAGGAATAACTGTCTAGTTTTTTTTTGGTTTAATAATGTGATCAGTCAATTTGCTTGCGTGATAATTTGCATAGACGCCAACGGCATTTGATTGATTGATCATCATCATAAAACCAAAAAACAGACAATTTTTCCTTATATTTACATTTTTACCTGATCCTTGAAAAAATTTCTTATTCAATAATAAGAAATCTCAGCATCCCCGCTAGATGTATAACTAAGCACAAACGGCAAAAAAGCATGCAGTTTTTGACATGCTGAGCAAATCGATTTATGGGGTTATAAAGCTATTACCTTATTTGTAGTTTTATCTCAGACGAAGACATTGGAAATGTAAATATTAAGAGTTGAGGGTTGTTAGGAGACTCATTTAGCAATGAACAAGTCTTAATTTAGCAATGGCTGTTTTGACAGTAATAAAAAAAGGAGGCTAATTAAACTATTAATAGATGTATACAGTAAACATACATAAATTATGCACTCAGAACTAAGCACCACCTCTTTTATCATCTGATTAGTGTTTTCATAAATAAGCCCATTCGGAGCAAAGCAACCATATATACTCTTTTTAATTATATATATTAGTGTTTATTTGAATTATTGCATACTGTAAATCACTTTTTATTTGTGAGAACTTTATTTTTGCATAAGTGTATGAGGCCATCCACTTGCAAAAATTTAGTTCTTGCCTTTAAATGTTAATAAAGATTATATAGAAAAAATAAAAGAAATTGTGAAAAAATTGTCTCACATTTAATGAAATATATCTTTCTCGTAAAAATATGGTGTCGTAAATGTTTGATGATTTACAGTAATAAGCAGTACAAAAGATGCCAAAATATGATTACCGCTATATTTAATTGAATACATTTACAGTAAATATTTACTTTAATTTTTGAAATATCAATTCTAGGAAGAGCACCCAAACCCTGGTGTCCGTTATAGAGGAGAGAGGAGAGTCGCATATTTACCAGACTGTCCAAAGGGTCAGTTAGCCCTCAAACTTTTACGGATAGCCTTTGACAGACGTCTCGTCTTCACCATTGGCTATTCAAGAACAACTGGACGTGACAATGTCATCACATGGAATGATATTCACCATAAAACAAACATGTATGGTGGTCCGGAGAGGTAAATCTCTTATACAAAAACGTCATGTACTTTTATCCCCATATTATTATACATGTATTAGTCGTGTTTTTAACGAGTTTATAGGACACCTGAGTCACTCAGGTGACCTATTGCTATCTCTTTTCATCCCTCATGCAAGTGTGCTTAAACTTTTCACATTTTTAACTTCTCCTCAAGAAACATCAGACCAATTTCAATCAAACTTGCCACAAAGTATCCTTGGCTGAAGGGGATTTAGATTTGTTCAAATAAAAAATCTTCTTCCCAAGAACCACTGGGCTGGAAGAGATGAAACTTATATGAAAGCTTCCTGACACAGTTTAGATTCAAGTTTGTTCAAATCATGGCCCCTGGGGATAGGGTAAGGCCACAATGGGGGATCAGAGTTTTACGTAAAGTAAATTTAATAAAATCTTTCAAATTCTTCTTCTCAAGAACAGCAAAGCCATAGATGATCATATTTATATGGAAGCATCCTCAGGTAATGTAGATTTATTTTTGTTCAAATTATGACCCCCCGAAAAAGAATGGGGCCACACTGGGAGATTAAAAGTTTTACATAGGAATATATATAGGAAATTTTATAAAAATCTTCTTCTCAATAACAGCAGAGCCAAAATGGCCATATTTATATGGAAGCATCCTTTGGTAGTGTAGATTCATGTTTGTTCAAATAAAGACCCCCAGGTTGTAGGGTGGAGCCACAATGGAGGATTAAAGTTTTACATAGGAATATATTGTGAATTTAATTAAAAATCTTCTCAAGAAAGCAAGCTATAAATGGTCATATTTATATGAAAGCATCCTCAGGTAGTGTAGATTCTTGTTAGTTAAAATTATGACCCCTGGGGATAGCTTGGGCCACAATTGGAGATCAAAGTTTAATATAGGATTTTGGGGAAAAAACCTTTAAAAGTCTTCTTCTCAAGAGCAACAGAGCCATTGACAGTCATATTAATATAAGCGTCCTCAGGTATTGCAGAATGCCAGATTCAATTTTGTTACGGATATAGCCTGAAAAACTCATGATACTCAGGTGACCATTAAGGCCCATGAACCTTTTGATTATGTGTATTGCTGTCTTATGAGACCTACAGTAATATATTATTCTTTTTTTAAATCTAAAGGTTTGCTTACCCAGATCCTGACTATCTAGACAGGTTATTGGAGGAGCTGGCCACTAAAGGGGTCACAGAGAGGGATCTCACGAGTGACACAGAGAGATCTCACGAGGTGACAAAGAGAGATCTCGTGTAGGTGTGAGATTGAGTGACTACTGCACTCTCAATCTTGTTTGGTACAGGTGATTCCGATGGTAAAAATCACATACATGTATATACAGCTAATAGTTATATAAAAGTATAAACTAGCAGTGAACCCTGCAATTTGTGAAATTTTTAAAATATCTTTACTTTTTTTGAACTTGATATTTGTTTGAATATGCAACTGTAAGTATACTGTATAAGCAGAAATTTTAGTGAGAATTCAGTTTTGGCAATGTTAGTGAGGTGTTGAGATTACAAAAATTGAATATTGCTCACGATCCATTTCACATTGTTGGAAACCGCTAAAATTGAATATTGTTAACAATTCATTCCACATTGTAGGTAACTGTTATGTTTTTAAGCATAAAAAAAATCCTAAATTTGCATCTCGCTAAAAATTCCACTTATAAGGTATTTGAAGCTGTGTGACAAGTGGTTAAAGAAAAGCGAATGGCTTCACAAAGTATTTAATTAACATCATCTATAAATATTGTTTTACGATACTTGAAGCACCATTTAAGTAATTTGTTATTATCTCACTGTGAGTGTTGTTGCTCACTCCTGATTGTAACATACATTATGTCGTGTTAAGCGTTTCATGTTAACTCTGTATTTTTTAAAAGTGATTTTGAATTGCACACTTGGTCAATGTTTAACAATGAAGTTAGTTTTTCTAAATTAGATTGCTTTGGTAATTTGGAACAAGATGGAAAGCCCTAATAAATAATTTCCTTTACATCAGGAAATTTCTAAATGAGATCTACTCTCAGCAAGGATTGTGTTGAGTGTTATATTAGGCAAAGTATAAAAAATAAAAAAAATATATATAGATTGGATCTTTCATCTAATATATCAGTGATTTACTAGAATGTAAATTGGATGCATGTGTTTTTCTACTTGAATGTAAATTGCATGCATGTGTTTTTTGATCATGTACATGTGGCCATGGAAATTTTGTATGTCTTGTAAAAATTCAAAAGAAATTTTTTAAAAAAATTTCATTGAACATTTTAGAATCTGTGATATATATAGCTTTAAAATTTTTGCAGAGATTTGAATGAAAGGAAGGTAAAAAAAAAAAATTTCTAATTACATTCATCTATTCATGGAAAATTTAAGTCATTTGTATATGCATACAAACATGTATGATAAAATTTCTGCTTAATTTTCTCTGTGACACACTGTGTCTTTTTCCTTTATTTTTGCACATGTATTCAAGATTATTGTACATGTATTAAGCAAAGTACAGGCTGCTCAATTTTCACTACTCTTTTTATGGTGAGAATGGAAAAGGGAAGGGTAAATTATTTCTTATCCACAACATTTTATTTTGTAAAGCAATACTTGAAGGTTCCATAAAAATGAATTAACAAATCTTTCAGTCATGTTAATCAATCCAAAAGTAATAAGTGTCTAAAATATTATTGCCCTATAAGTATACATGAGCAGCATGAAAAAGATTGATAATATTGAAAAAAAAAATAGGGATGGAAGTTTCTGTACACTACTTCACTTATTTTTGATGCGGACACTATATGTACATGTACAATTATATTGTAAAATAAAGTCAACTTCAGTTTCTAATACAGTGATTACAATTGTTGATTTTTGGAGAGAAAAAAATTCAGTGAAATTTGCTACTAGATTAACAGTGCTTCATTTTGCTTTGTTTTCTTTGTTTTTGTTTGGTTCTGGGGCTGTTCTTATTATAGTATATGTTTTGAATATATAGTATATGTTTTATTGAATAACTTTACCATTGAAATCAATATGAAAATATTTACATGTAAACAACAGGATTCCTTTTAAAAAAAATTCTGAGTGCATATGAACTGCACTTGATGAAGAATAACTTTGCATGGGTGTTTTTCCACTTAGCCAACATTTTGAAAATATACAGGTGAATCACAGGTTTACCTGTGTGGGCTAAGTAGGAATGGGGTGAATTACAGATAGGCTATTGTCTGTAAGATATAAGCTGAATAAAATATTTTATATAGTATCCATCTTTAAATAATTGTTATAATTAACTAGATTAAAATTATTTCTTATGCTATATCACAACTTTCTTTTTGTCATTTTTTGTAAACATTTGTCACATGTTTGTTGAAATATGTTTTTTTTTAAAATATATATGTGAAAAATAAGAAATATTAATTATACAGGTATATATTTCTTATCTATTTTTTTCTGTTTCATTAAATTTTTTTTTTTACATCATTGAATGCCATTTTATCTATTATAAATTTATTCATTGAATATTTTTTTTTAAATTGTTTGTTCATGAGACGCAGGTGGCACTACTTTTAGCTAACATGAAGAAGCCATTCAAAATACTTTGGCAATTTTTGCTTTTGAATGAAATAATGCCGTGGTAAATAATATCTTTGTTTTACATGCCTTAATTCTATGAAAAGGTGCCCTCCAGACCGACCAGAAAACAAACACATTTCAAAAATCATTCAATGATCAGCAATATAATAAATAATAAATGAAAAAGGAAGCTGTTTTTTTATTCTTTATTTTAAAGTACTTTAATCTTGTCAAAAACTGCGCTTTCACACAATAGCATTAATAAAATAAAGTATACTTGAATTTCTTGTAAGTTTTTGCTTTCTTTCAAGGCCTTTTTTGTTTCCCTTACTCTCAGAGACTTAAGCTTTCTGTAGCCTTAAAAAATGGAATGGATTTCAAAATTAATTTTTACTAAAAATGCAAAGAAAAATTGTTGAAATTATGACGAACTTGTGTTTGTTTTTTTGACCAGATTTTACTTAAAACCTACACGCCGGGGGACGTAAAACAAAGATTTAACTTACTGTGGTCTAAATGAAAAGAAATGTTTTTGTAATATATTTGGGGGATATGATCTAATACATGTATTTTGAACCAAAGAATTTTTTTTTCATTATGCACTAATTTGTACACAATGTTAATTCATTGATCATTGTTATTGTTATTATGTTAAATTGTGTTGTTTTGTGATATTTTTGTTTGAAATATGCTTAAATAAAATCTGAATAATTTAGAATCAAAGATTTACGTTACTTACATACGTTCTGGATACATGGGTTTTACTTAAGGAGGAGCAGGACCTTGAGCTGAAAAAAATCCTGTCAATATACCCCCCCCCCCCATATTTTGTATATTACTAATTTAGAATGCCTTACATATATTAAAGCAGTTCTTTTAACAGATTTCTTGACTTATTTAAGAGATACTTATTTAAGAGATATTGCCGCACAAATATTGCTCCGTACCGTGTCTTTATGAAATTTTGATTCTTCATGTTTAAAAGCCAATTAGAAAAATAAAAAGATATGTACTTTTTCAAGTATATAACAATATGAATTGTTAGTTTGTTGTTAGCATATCCCTCTCGAGATTTTTTTTCACTCCAATGAAGCACAGGTGCTTGGGGACGGGACCCCCCCCCCCCATGTTCCGTACCCAAAGGGTTCTTTTTTAAATAAAATATTTTTCTATGATACATTCACAGAGTAATACAACTGAAAAATCCAAAATATAATCTAAAACTAGCCTTTTATAAAAATTCACAGTCTCTTGTACTAAAAGAGAACTTTTGTCAGAGAGTGAATTTTTTAAAAGGCTAGTTTTAGGTTATATTTTGGAATTTTCAGTTGTAATACTTTGAGAATGTGTCATAGAAAAAAATACTTTATTTAAAAAGAGTCATAGAACCCTTCGGGTACAGAACACGGGGGGGGGGGGGGATGTTACACTCAACTACATGCAATATTTATTATATATTATACAGAATGTTTTATACAAATACATATAACAGTGAACCTTGCGCGCATAAATTCTGCGCAATCAATATTTTTTGGAATATCACCCGTCGTCAAGCAATGTTGACTGTCGCTAAGCTGGAGGGCGTGGTTTAGTCATTCAGCGGGTAATAGTATACAGTTATGGAATGGGTATGAGGGAAATAGCAAATTTATGGTTCCCCAAGGGAGTAAACTATTTTCCGAGGCGGCGAAGGATTATGTTGTCTTCTTTTTGCTAGAATTCCAGTATGATTTTGACATCGCTTGTCGAAATGTTTTGACGTCATAGTTACATATTGCTAATGACTCGAGATTCCTTGAACGCTCCGCCCACTGTTCATTTTAATTGGTTAAAATTATTAATAAATATTCATGAGGGAGTAGTCCCAGGGAGTAGCTCCGATTTTTCAGGCAGTATTCCTCCGATGAGGGAAATACATATAGTATGTTCTCGGGGAAAGAAGACAACGATAATCCAAAGTGTCAGTAAAATTATTTTGTATTTTTAATAATTTTATTTTCCTCGGTATCGATGCATTAGTTATCTTACAATATTTTTAATCACATGCATTTGTGATTATTTAAATGCCTCTATTATACAGTTATTGAATGGGTATGAAGGAAATAGCAAATTTATGGTTCCCCGACGGAGGAAACTATTTCCCCAGGCGGCGAAGCCCCCGAGGGAAATAGTTTCCTGCCGAGGGGAACCATAAATTTGCTATTTCCCTCATACCCATTCCATAACTGTTTTATTATACCGAAACAAACAAAGGAGATTTATGAACTAGAGACTTAGACATTTTTAAAACATTTGGGGAACCATAAATTTGCTATTTCCCTCATACCCATTCCATAACTGTATAATAAGAGGCTCAAGAGAAGCATATTAAATGAACATTTTTTTAAATTTCAATCATCACCTGTATACTAGTACATGTAAAATTCTTCTATCATTGGTTCCTCACACTAATGATTCAAATGACATTTGAATTTTATATTTGCACATCAGTTTCTAAATTAACATACATTCTAGAAGTTGTCAAATCTGAAAATAAATAGGACGAAATCATTACATTAAGATAATTATTATCTTCTACCTAGGGAACCATGATCGAGATGCAGGGGTTTCAACAAAGCTGTCAGACTTGTCTTAGTCCCTTAAGGTGAAAAAATTCTGTTAATTCGTAGTGAATTGTTTATTACAAGTATCTTTTTTCCTTTCAACTAGTACTCTTTTACAAATCTTAATAAATATTTTCAAACGTTTTACAAAAATAAAAAAAAGAAGAAAAACATATATCAGCACCTTATCTCAACACATATATATATATATTTTTTAAAAAGTATCAAAACCTTTATCTGAAAATCCCGGATATACTCTGTAACTTACCAGTCATATTTTCTTGGTAGATTTAGTTGTTGCCAGACCAGCTTTTGTAAAAGTATATTGGAATGCACCTCATCTCCATTTATCTTCATAACAAACTCTCAGTGTTTATTAAGTCCTGATTTTTTTGGGGTCTGTTGACAATAAGTGCCATAAATTCCCTTTGCTACAAGCTGGAGACAATATGTGCCATGTAATCGACATGTGTATTGTTGGAGATAATATATACCATAACTCCCTCCCACTGGAAAGGATTAAAGAGCCATCAAATTTTCAATTAGAATATTGGGATCAAATTACATTTACCTATCTAAGCAATAAAAGACAAGAAGAAAATTTTACAATGTCAAAAGATTGCACCAGTACTTGTTGTAGAGTAGCTCAGTATTACGCAAAGGTCGATTAATAAAAGGTGCAGTCATGAATTAACGTTATCAGCATTTTCTTGTTTATACCAAATCAAGTTCTGCGATAATCTTGAATTAGCACGCCATTGACTGTGCACGTGCTGAAAGTTGAAAAACATAAACATTATAAATTTCAATACATTTTTTACGGAAGCCGGTAGGTGCCAGGTGGAAAAATATTTTATCTGGCGGCCGCCAGATAATTATTTGGCGGCGACCAGATAACTTTCTTGCAGCCGCCAGAAAGTTATCTGGCGGCCCCCAGATAAAATATTTTTTCTACCTGGCACCAACCGGCTTCCGTAATTTTTTGCAATAATTTTCTATGTGAGTGATACTTGGAATGTTTCAATACTTTCAACATGTCAAAGACTTGTACCGCTTATAATTCTGGGATTTCTGAGAACGCCAATTTATATCGGTTTGAGCCAGTCTACTGTTACTTAAGAATAAGTGCGTTTTCACCCTGTATGTTTAAGTATTTTGATTGACTCGGTAAGTGTTAAAAATAAATTTCTAATTCCAAAAAAATTAGCATTTAGCCCAAAAGAAATTTTCATTTGAAATTGATTAAAAATTATATTAAATTTTCATATTAATTGATTCATTAATTAAAAAAATGAAATATTGATAATATAATTTAGAGATAATGCATGATGTGTCTACATGGCACATGGTTATTTAGAAACCTACTGTGTCTTATCAAACCAAACACTAAATTGAATATTATTGATTGTCACCTACTTCTGTGGGGAGATGAATCACAAAATGTTGAAATCAATAAATATATTTTTCAATCTGTACAAAAATTTATAAGAGATTCTGGCAGATTCAATTCATTATTACAGCCTTACACTAAAACTCTAGTTACATGTAGTTATATATTTATTATGTAATTAATGTATGTTTAAAACAAACATGTTTGTATATCAAATATTTTTTTTCTATATACAGACCTTGACAGTTGTAGCCATTTATGGTGAGAACCTCGTAAGTTGTTAGAACTTATGTTCAAACCATTTGTATTTTATTTATACAATAAAATATGTTCAAACCAACATGGTTTTTCGAGCTAATCTCGTTCCTTAGTAATGTTAAAGAAATTTCTGGAAAAGATACCTATACAGATTATGTTCAATTGTCATAACAATGGCATTTGTCAACATGTTATGTTAAACATTTTCTTAAAAATTATTATTTTTTCGACATGAAGCTGTCAGTCAGATGCGTAATCACGGATGGTATTGAACAATTCATATCATAGATTCTCTTGGAAGAGAAGTATATTAATCAAATATCAAATCGATCTTTAGGCACCAATGTGATTTATTGCTCTCTGGTTCTGTTCATCATGCATACTTCATGCATATGTTTTCTTTAATTCTTCTATAGAATCAGCAAACCAAATTTACAACAGGTATCTCTAGACGAAGTCCACACGTCTGTCTATCTGATGTCACTTTTCCAGAATTCTCTCTCCTCGTTGCAAACTGATTTGCACTTTATTTAAAGGGTCCCCAAGGGTAAATCTTGCAAACTTAAGGCAAAAGTCCAAAATCATCTGTGTGTAAAATTTCTGTCCGGACCATATTTTCTGTTATTGATGTAAGTTTCCTTTGTACTATTTGCCTCGATCTTAATTCACGGTTTTCAGTAACCTTGAACCGATTTTCTAGAACAAAGATCAAGGTCAAACATATCTCTGTGTAAAATCATTGTAAGAGAAAATTTACCCTCCACTTGGGCCTAGGTAACTCATTTTTACTTTCATTTATGCATACGTTAACCTTAGATATTCCTTTCTTACATAGAAGTGTCTTAAAAATATGTTCCAACTTTGTCAAACATTGTCATTGTTAAGAATACTTCCCAGTATGTCCCAACCTTTGTCAAACATTCTCATTGTTAAGAAAATACATTTCGTGTCTAAAAAAAAATACCATTCTTTCTGGGACTCGCTGGACGCATAGAATTTTGAAAAATAATTTTGATGGTCATTAACTGAATGAAATATATGAAGATAACGAACAGTATTCAGGCTCAAAAGTTCATCAAACAATACAAAATAGGAGCAGAGCAAACACGGACCTCCAATCATCAGAGGTGGGATCAGGCGCCATGGAGGAGTGAGCATCCCCTGCCGACCGGTCACACCCGCCGTGTGCTCCTTGTCATGATCGGGAAATAACGGAAAAATCCGTCGACAATTCAGTATGTAAATAATGGCCTAACAATTTGTATGAAAAACGTCAGTCAGCATTTGACTCAATGATAAATTATATTTGCTGACAAGGTCATTGTATCGACCATAGAATGAAATGTACGTATTAAATCAATATCTAAAAAAGTTTTTACTTTTCCTTTTAAAAAAAAAGAGAAGAAAAAAACAATATTTTTCCTCCATAACATCGAGACAAGATCCTTTCTGTGTACAAAATGGTCTTTTCTATATACAGACCTTTACAATTTATTTTTATTCTGTCATTTACTTTGCTATACACGGGCCCTATGAGATGGTCACATCTCAGTGGTGTCCAGTGATGTAGCTGTGAAACGGAGAGCTGATTTAATTGCTTTCCCATGTCAATTACAACAAATGAAATTGGACAGTTGATGTATTTGAATCGGTTTACATGAAATTGATTCTAAACTGGAGATCGGTTTTATACAAGAATGGAAATCAATTCACATCAAATTGTTCCAATTCTTGGTCGTTATTGTTAGCAAACATGTCCTAAAAGATGAAAACCATGTTGCAATCAATGTTTAATGTAAACCAACACATTAAACACGAACAATTTCGTGATATTTTTCTATACTCTACTAAAGTATGCCATCTTTCCAAAGAGTATTTAAAAAAAAAAAATTCCTACAGAATATACAGCTAAAATGTTTACAAAAGGCGTAATATTTGAACAATTTCATAAATCACTTGTATAACACGAATCACCGTCACTGAACTTCAGTCTTAACTGTAGACGTGAGAGGAAAATTAAAAGAATATTGTATTTTCTTGACACTTCTGTAATCAAAGAATTTAACACAAAACAAAGTTAAAAACAACTACAACTCTGTTCAATAAAAGGAATATGTATTGTTGTTTTATGGATTTTCTTATCAATTACGTGAACATGTAACAATGCATTTTTCACCAGATTTGTTTTGAATTCTGAATGTGATTGATAAGAAACACGTATTAAATTTTGCATTTTAAAACACTGCTCGCAACTCCAATGGCATACTATATTCATGCGAGAAGATCTTGATGCAGATGATTTAATTGTTTAACAGTTTCAGGAATAAAATTTACTTCTCTTAACCTTAATACAAATCGAACTTGAGTTTAGAGGTTATACAAATTAAAATTAGTAAAGTTTGAAAATAACAAACAGAGATCAGTGTCACAAACCCAGCAAAGAACATAAATATTAAACAGGGCAACAACACGGATCGCTGGAAACATCACAGGGACGGAATCAGGTGCTCAGGAAGAGAAAGCATCCCCTATCGACCGGTCCCATGCACCCGTCGTGAGCCCTATGTATTGGTCATCCGTAGTGAAATTTAGTATTAAAACAATGACTTTACAATTAAACATTTTAAGATTTATTAAATCGTCATAATAGACTTGAGATTTTTTTTTCAAAATTGTCAACAATGCTTCCTTGGTATTTTACATAAGCTCTGAATCAGAACACTCCCCTCTGGAATCGTCTTTTTCACTGACCACATATTATTACTCTCCTACGAAGCTTCCATTCTTATAGTTTGAGTTTTCCTTGTAGAGCACAGACAGGGGGACGGGTATTAAAATCATCAGGGTCAGTCAACTCGTAGAAGTAAACATTGAGATGTCCATCGACGACTAAATACCTGTTACTGTTTTCCTGACCAGTCATGGCCACGATGTTGTCTGGCAGTTGGTACCACGGGTTTATTGGTCTTTGATTATCGTCCGTTCCTGAAGTGTCATTTTTATAAAAAATCCCTTCATGGGGAGACTGGTTTCTGTAATACCGAATCGTGGAGGACTCTCCAAAAAATAGTGCGTGTGCCCCATGTCCCCTATAGACTCCCCACTGAACGTTACTGAAGAGATTTGTTGCTGTTTGGTACACCGAGGTTTGGATGTAGTCGCCTTTGGTTTTTGGATAACCAGAAACTTGTAATATATCCCCGCTATTTTTCTGCCAACGATATACTTGATCATCAAAATCTGAAAGTATAAGATTTACAGAAACCGAAATTAAAAGGTCTTTAGTTAATGGAAATCTTAAATTATATTGGAAATAAGTAATTGAACTTCAAAACTTTCTTACTTATGTCCTTAAAAATAAATAAAATAGATGGTGGCAACTGAAAAAAAAACAACAACAACAATTGTGGAGATGGTGGGGGGGGGTGTAATCAGATCCTGCCATTCGTAATCTTCCAATCATTTGATTCTGGAAAAGCCCAAGTTCCTTAATTTAAATTACTTGAATTTGCGATTGAATTTTGGCAATAAATGAAATGACTCACAGACAAGAGACTAAAATGTTTCACATATTTTCCAAAGACCATGTAAACTATAGAATTTATGAGTAGAACCAACAGGGTACTTCTAAAAACAGAAGTGGGATCAGGTGCCTTGGAGGAGTAAGCATCCTCTATAAAATTCGCAGACAATTCAGTGTGAAAAAAGGCCTAATAATTTCTATGAAAGACGTCAGTCGACATTTGACCTAACGATATATTTTATTTGCAAACAAGGTCATTGTATCAACCATAGACTTTTTGAAATGGTTGATATCCTTGTAAAAGCAACTTATTTGTCAATAGCCTATATTGTTTTAGAATTGTTGGTACGTAAAACATATTCTTGAGTATCGAATCAATCAGGAGACGTAAACTACATATGCAGATGATAAATAATGGAATTTGCTACATAAATAAGGAAAGCTGACAAAAAAGGTTGAAGTCATCACGTTTATCATTATATGTTAATTGACTGGGTTCGAGGGCAACATGCGTTTTGTCGACTTCTTGAACCAAACTGTTTGCCTTCAGCCTAACGGACTCAGGCAAACATTTGGTTCTTGGGTCCGACAAAACACATTTTGCCCTAGAACACAATCAGTAAACGTTTTATTATATCTTTTTTTGACAGGTATCTTGTACTTGCTTCCATGATATAAATTTCCTTTACCCGCACTACAGTAAAACTTGGTCAATTCTGTCACTGTCTAACACCATGCAACGAATAAAAAAAAAATTAGCTGATCCCACCCACAGTGTGACGTAAGCTGTCTAATATCTCATCGATAGGTCCAATATCTTGCTCTTCGGTTAAATATCGATTTTTTTGTGACCGCTCAATAAAACATTGGCAATGTTATACTTTTTGAGTATAGATTTATATTGGAACCAATTTTTAAAGGTATAACAAAAAGCTTTGTTATTTTGCCATCTATAGTAAAATAGCAAAATGTGAAGCAGATGCGTCAGATTCATTTCGACTTTAATGGGAGATATCGATTATCGAATCAACGTATAGGAATATAATGAAAATAAAATGATATAATATTGTTGATTGATACAACGTGGTCGACTTTCTAAATGTCAAATTGTATACCACAGCAAGATACTTCTTCTTTTCACATAATTTTTTAAATAAATTTTCCTTCATATGGCTATAAAATCAGGTCTGCTAATAACGGGACACAAATACGCGTAGTATCCATGGAAATCCCAACAGAGTATTGGAAGACCTTCTCCGAAAACTACATATTACTGATATTAGATATTGTCAATGAGAAACTCGTGCATCTTTTTACTATCAACCCCGCAGTCCTTTTGTGTAGAATTTGATTTTTTTATCCATATGTTTGCACATGACCAATGACAAGTTATCCTATTTATTATTATTTCATTGAAGAAGCAGTTGTCCATGATGGCATAAGGTCCGCATGGTCTGTCTATTGTCATTTCTGTTCTTACGAAATAGAGAAAAAAAATGAATGCTCATACTTGTGAAAAGATCAAAGTAAGTATTGGTGTATGTCAACAAAGCAGACCATGTTGTGACATCAGGTAATGTGGAATATCCCGCGAAAAGATCATCAATCGTCATGTTCCTGCACGCTCCGGTAACGAGGGATTCCGCGTTGTCATAGAGATGGACGCCTCCTGTTGTTACCACGGCAATGTCGTGCTGAGAGTTGGTTGAACATAGGTTATTGACGTTGTCTATCATATCTATGATTGTCTAGATAGAACGTAAAGGAGAAATAGTGTAAGGTACTGTAAATCTTGAAACTGAATTAGAGTTTCTCTAAATGTTTTACGAACATCATTTTCTTGATATATGCCTGTCAATTCCTTTTAATAATGAAACTAATCCGATTGTACAGAAACATTGTAATAAGATATTCACAGCCATTAGAAAGCACTGTTATGGACCCTTTGAAAATTTTAATATAAAATACATCAAAGTGATTCTCTCATTTGTTAATTAGCATAATTTATTTTTCCCCTCCTGATTTTTTCCCTATATTTAAATCGTTAGATGTGAATAATTCCCTAGAAATCGCCGTGAAAAGATAATCCCCGATATGCTGTGCGACAGTCAAGTATGTTATTAACTACTTCGAAATCTAATTTCCGGTCATCCATAATCCCCTTTTACTTTTGTATCGTTATAATAAAACAGTTAAAAAGTATATCATTGAGGGAGTCCGCCTCAGGAAATAATCCTGGCCAAGGCGGTAACTACCACTAAGGCAAGTGAGGCAAATGCCTCACTAAGATTTAAGAGTTTTCTGAAAAGAGAAAAAAAAGGTTTTACTTTGAACTGCTTCATTATAGTTGAGAACGCATGTAAAACATAATTTAAAACATGTGAAAAACTTTCAAAGAATATATCTTTAATTTGCTAAAACCCAGGTTTCGGGATCCCCCCCCCCCCCATGAGAACCCCCATCAAGACACTACTTAGTGTAGACTCGCTTGGGCCGAGTGGCCCTCAGAACCCATGCCTCACTAAAATTTTGAGCATAGTTACGGCCTTGGTAACATCCCAATGATATACTTTAACTGTATACTAATAATCTCAAGAGGAATTAGATAAAAACTCAATATTTTTGTTTAAAATATTTAAAAAATTTGATATGATAATTTTTAGCTCATAGAAAAAAAATATGTGACATACTTCCGCATATGGAATAACTTTCGCTGTTGTTGTTGAAGTATCAGAAGTAAGTTCTCTTGTTGTTGTTAATGTTGTTGTTGATGTCAGTAAGGTTGATGAAGTTTCTGTTGTTGATGCCATTTCTGTTATTGTTGTTAATTCTTCTGATGTTAAAACTGAAATCCCATCATCTACCATGAAGCACATGGACGAGTTATCCGCCACTATATAAGGGTCCGCAGCAGAGGGGGCTCTAATTAAGGAACACATCCCCTCATCCCCACGGTCAAGATAACGTTCATATAATATTACTTTGCAGTCCTTTGTTATTAAACATCGAGCACCACATTCTATCTGCAGAATTATTATTTTCGATCATTAAAAAAGTCGTCTTAGAAAATACTATTCCTCTAATATTTTTCTTTCAAAATATACATACTTAGTATACATGCTTGTAAGGGGATCAAAATACTTTTAAAAAGTTTATCTTTAAAGGTACATGGTGGTTTTGACAAAAAAATAAAACATTCAGAGAGAGAGAGAGAGAGAGAGAGAGAGAGAGTTTCAAATAAATGCAAACATTAAAATGTACGTTGACAGTAAGATCCTGAAACTCCAATAGCATGATTAGGTAAAAAAATTATTATTCAAGTAGATATTTAAATATTTTTCCTAACTTGGGCCCACTCCCTCATTTTCTCTCTATATACTGATACTTGCCTTTGATTTTAAAATTGTACTTTTTCCAATGATATGATTTAATATACTTTTTCCACACACTCTGTTAGCTAAATGTAGTTGTTGAAATTTTGTAGCACAGAAAAGTAATCCAAATGTTAGAGTAAAAAGTTGTAAGATCCAGTACGCATTCATGTTGAATATCTGAGAGATAATAAGAGAAGAATTTAAACTTTCTCTTAAGCATAGTCAATTTTCGACGTTTCACGCTATCTTGTATCGATTACTGACATAGAAGTAAGATCAGTGCAAATAACAACAAAGGGCCCATGGACCACAACTCTCACCTGAGTAACCATGGCCCTTCTGTTCTTCATCAGCAGATTCTTTTTCCTATATAATCTTATGTAAACATTTGATCTCATATTAAGGCCCCAGTATACCCCAGGAGGTCATGTTTTGAACAACTTTAAATCTACACTACCTGCTTCCATATAAAGAACTACGCACGGTAACTCCATTTAATTTAATATTGTTGACAATTTGGCCATAACATCTTTGTTTAATACAAAGAACAGTTCAATGGTAATTGATTAATTATTCTAATTCCAGTGCTAAATAGTAAATTATCCCTAATTCCAGCTCTTGAAATAAGGGGGGGTAGACGATATTTTCGACTGAAATCGGGCTATAAAGCATCACCATATTCTGAAATAGTCTTGAATATGAATAAATGTTTCTTAAATCTTTTCTTATGTTTTATGCATATAAAATTAAGCATATATATTAGTAAAATATAATGTTTCAGTTGTAAAGGACTTGGAAATTGCTGAAAAAATAAGCATTTTTGTCGTTTTTTGTATATAAACATATGTTCCCCCCGTGAAACACAAAAAGCTTTGGTATGAATTTGTGAAATGACAGTCCATATTACCCGTAAAAAGGAATTTTTGTTTCACGGGGGGGGGGGGGGGAGGGGAAGATGTTTTAAAAATATTTACCGTTTTCCGTTGATTTCTATAGTGAAAAACACGAGTTTTACCAAAATTTTAGAGTTATCTCTCGTTGTTTTCCCAAAGAAGTAATGTTTTATAAAAATCCATATAAATATCAATATAAATATTAAAAATCATTCGAATATCTTAACTTTTGAAAATTGACTTGGAGGTAGGCGGGAGAACAATACTATCGTTCGCAATTCTTTGACTAATCATGGTTTTGCTGTTGTTAAGATATTTAAAGACATTTCCTTAATATTTCTATGTATGATTTCGTTCCCATGTTGTGGCCCCACTCTACTCCACGGGGTCATGATTTGAACAATCTTGAAAATTGCACTATCCGAGAATGCCTCTGTATTAAGGCTGTTCGTGATAAGAAGATTTTTAAAAATATTTCATATATATTCCTATGCAAAACTTTGATCCCTTGTGGCCCTGCCCTTGGTCATGATTTGAACAATTCTATATCTACACTATCTGATATAACAATATGGCTATTCATGGCTTTGCTATTCTTAAGAAGAAGATTTTTTCCTGTATATTCCTATGTATAACTTTGATCCCCTGCTGTGCCCCCTAACCCCCTCCCCCCCCCCGGGGGGGGGTCAGGATATGAACGAACATGAATCTACACTACCTAGGAATGATTCTATATAAATATGACAAATTAAAGCTTGACTGTTTTTGAGAAGAACGCATTTAAAGATATTTCTTTATATGTTTACCTGTGATCCACTGTTATGGTCCCGCCCTAACCCAGGGGTCATGATTTAAACAGTCTTGAATCTACACTACCGGAGGATGCGTCTTTATTAATATGACTTATCATGGCGATGCTGTTCTTTGGAAGAAGTCTTTTTTAAAATTTCCTATATATTCATATGTATAATTTTATCCCCTGCTGTGGCCCAACACAAACCCCGGGGTCATGATTTGAACAATCTTGAATCTACACTTCCTGAGAATGATTCTGTATAAATATGACTAAAAATGGCTTTGCTGTTCTTAAGAACATTTTAAGATTTCCTATATCTATACTACTATATTAAAATAATAGACTCGAATTTTTGGCCTTTAATACCGATAAATCAGAAGAGTACTGTCTTTTGTTTGATATATTTTAAACATCATTGGTACTTGAAGATTACCAATTTGTTTTTATTTTTTCTCAATTAAGCTTCGCTAATTAATAATCAACGAAAATTCCTCAAAAAATTCCGGAAATCATCTGGATTTTTTGGATTTTACAATCTTGCGCGTGCGCATTACATTCACGCTAAATCAATCTCCCTTGCAGAGTTGTCGTTCGTTTCTCTCTCATACACGAATGTATGAGCCGTTGGTGGAGAGTGTGTTCAAATCAGAGAAGACAAAAGTAAATACTAAGTAGATATATATTTGTTATTGTATAATTTCTCTAATAAGAAATCAGTAATATATATGAACAGAATATATAGCAAATTTCCAATGAAAATTTACACGTATTTGTCATAGGGGTCGGAACCGGGGGGGGGGGGGGGGGGCAAGGGGGGCTTAGCCCCCCTTTTTTTGCAAAGATAGACATAATATAGGCATTGAAAATTGGGGCTTACCTTTTTTCGTTGGTTTAGCCCCCCCCCCCAACTTTCAAATAGCCACCCCACTTTCAATTTGCTTCTGACGCCTATGTTTAGCCGGGCTCATTGCTCGTATTCTTATATTAAACTTTTATCCTCTGTTGTGACCCTAAACTATCCCGAGGTCACTATTTAAACAATCTTTAATCTACACTACCTTAGGATGCTTCTATATTTGCTATGAATAATCGTGGCTCAGCTGTTCTTCATTACAAGAATTTTCCTATAATACATACCCTTATGCTAAGATACAATTTGTAGTCTAATTTTGTGTTTTGATAGGCCGTTTTGATATGCTCCTTTTTCCCCTACAATAAAGGCTAGCCAAATTTTCTTTTCATTTTTTTAAAATGAGGAATGGATATTGCAAAACATTTTACCCTTTATTTTTTTTTTTAATTTGTCAATTCCTTGTTTTCGTAATTTCCAACTAGATCGGACCTCGTTAAAACAAAATTAAACTTGATATCACTATTACCCAAAATTTATTTCCTTTACAGATTACAATATACATAACATTTACACTGGATTTGACTTTTCATAATTCTTAACATAATAATTCATTTGCTCATGTCAGACAAGCTTTTTAGGAAAGCTAATACTTGTTACAGAAACAAGTGCCCGTTTGTTTCACCTTACCAAAGAGTAAAAGTCAAGCGGATTTAAGATTTTTTGTGGCCACTCGAATGATTCTTGCAGAACAAAATAAAGCAATCAGGTTGGAAATGTTTGAACACAACTCGTGCAGTGTTTGAGGATGGCCATCTTATCGGAATTACATCTAATACAACAGATTCTGATGCATCTGTTTTATATTTAGATATTTTACCAGAAAAAGACGATCATGGCAACAGCAACGGAACTTAAGAATAAACGTGACGACTTCAACTTTTGTATCCTCACCTTCCCTTATTTATGTAGCAATGTACCAGTATCATCTCATGTGGAGTTTATGTCTCATACTTGATTCAGTTCATAAGAGCATGCTCAAAATACGAATACTATTTGTAAAACGAGGCAAGCTATTGACATATAAGTAGATGATTCATGGAAAGCAAATTCAATCTATCCTTAAGTCGAATTTTGGCTGACTTTTCTCATACAAATTATTGGGCCATTTTTCCCACCTCTGATGTTTTGCTCTGCTCCCAATTTGAATTGTTCTCATGGATTTTTGAGCTTGGTTATTGTTCAATATCTTCATATTTCACGTACTTAAATTGCCAAGGTTCCAAGATCATTGTTTTTTTAATGAAATGAAGTTATGCAGGTATCTTTGAAAATTAAAACTTAAGACATTTTTTCAATACCATCTAGTTTTACGAGATGAAAAGGACTTTACTTACACTTATAAAAAAAACAAACAAAATAGATCCAACCTTAATAATACCCACAACTACCTACTGCAGGAATAATACAATATTAATAAATTCCTTTTCAATAATTATACCTTTGAATTTCCCTCTTTTGGACTATTTAGTAAAATAAAATAAATAATATTTTGCTATTAAATGTATGCCATAAAACTTGTTGCTGAAATGCTTACTATAAATGCTCAATTAGAACAGCTTTCTCTGACATATTATGCATACAGTCATCGTAATAGTTGCTTAAAGTGTTATTATATGGTTTAGAAATGATCGCTTTTAAATCGGAACAGGACTTTGATATTCTCCGTAGACGCTTGGTATTTTGGGAAATGCTGATGTAACAATCGTCACCAGGAAACTCGGACAGGGTGACTAGAACACTGTCTCTTTGAAAACGTGCGTCAACAGAGTCGTATTCTTTGCCTTCTTCGTGATTGAGTTTCTTCTTTGAGATGTTTTGGTTGTTGAACAAATGATTGTACTCTGTAGAATTTATTTTGTATTCTCCAGTTTCACGTTCTTCCTTTTTCTTGCCATCGAGGCTCATTTGGGATTCCCGAACATCGGAATATATTTCCTGTTTACCAGGAAATGAGAGCAAATTCACTTGAAACCCTGTAAATTCATAAGTAAAAGCGCATGTTCTTTAAGTGTCTTTAATTTGATTTAAAATATACACTTACTATTGTTTAGATCTATAATTATTATGTTTTACCCCTTGTGTTGTCTTCACTGATTTTTAATCTTCTCTGCAAATGTATCCGCCTGGAATGAAAATCCAGATTAACAATGATTGACATTGATGATGTAATAAACTCGGAAGACAATAAAAATTCTTCCGGTAAATAGTGAAAACTGTGCCTTGTTTCTCTTATATACTGGGGTTTGTTGCATATAAAATAATAATAAAAAATAATCAAAAATTATTACTTTTATCGAGGAGGAAATCTTACTCAATTTGATAGAAATTTGCACAACTAAGTTTCCGTACTTTCAAATGTGCACTATTTTAGTCGTAGTTGAAGATCACTTCAATAAAATTTTAGTAAAAAAAAGTAATAAAAGTCTGAAGATGAATACAAAACAACAAATCATTCTTACCATTTACAAAACATAATACCAACAAAAACCAGAGAAGCTGACAGAGTAACGGATCCAAGTCCAATCACTAGAACCAGTATAACTCCGTCACCGCTGCATTCCTTTTCTTCTACATTGAATGAGACCAATTAATTGTTATGAATTTCATAAATACTTATACATAATTATGTATAACATATCCTTATTATGTAAAACTTTCTAAAACCAGGCTTTGTGTGGCATTAGATCATTCTATTGATGATGAAATTTATTCCGGTTAAAGGTGTTCTATCCAAGCTTACACAAAATGTTGATTCTATGTGCATAATCCTTGCAATGACGATTGACAAAGCTTATCAACTCCTTCTAAAATTCATTTATAATATATGTTTGCATGTGGCACAGTGCTTTGTTATCGTGTACTTCTCAGTTCCTTTTAAATAGCTCACATATCACGATTTTGCATAAAATAGCAATTCTAAATTTAAAAGAATGATTTCATTTTTGTAAAAAAGAAAATCAAAGAAATACTACTCACCATTCTGTTGACATCCTAAGTATTTATTGCAAATTTGGTACTTTGTACAGTCGCATGTTTCTTTACACCTGTAGCCGTAGGAAATATTTCCACATGGCGTGGAGCAGTTTTCTCCATATGCCCCGAAACATTCTGAAGAATTTAAAGAATTATTCATTAGATTTACATTTTAGGAGAAAAGCATAATTTGTTTCGGTATTATGTGTGAAAAAGAATAAATCTAAAATTTATTTTGATATTACGTACTGGTTTCAGAATGATATAGTTAGCATATGTTACTTACCAATACAGAGGTTCTTAAACAAATAAAAACCAGAACAGCATTGTAAAGTACCACTAGATAAGTAAAAAGTCCATTTATCAATTCTCTCTCAAAACATCAGTACCACAATGTTTTCAAAACGATATTATAAGAAAATAATTTTCAGTTTGAATATAACTAGAAATAAGTAAAGATTAAATAAAACAAACTTACTCCTTGCTACACGTATTTTTATCTGCCTGTGCGTTAATTTCCTCCTGGAAGTGATAAATAAGTATTAATATAAGGTTGAAGATCATGTTAGGATTCTTGAAATATGTAAATTATCAGAATGAACTTAATGATGTTTATATAAACAGGTTAATATACACGTTAAAATCTACTTCCCTGAATGACGAAAGCAGAATATTTATTTCCTCATCGAGAGGATGTGAGTTTTGAAAAGTTCTTTTTGTTAACAAGCACTTTTGATTTAAACATGTGCCAAGGAATTATAATTTTTTAAAGACTATAATTTCGCATAATCAAACAAACAAAAATTGTTTTGTCAAATTAAAGAATTCCTATATCTACATCATCATCATCATCATCATCATCATCTGACAACGTTTAGTTACATATATAATTCTAGGTTTTCTTATGAAAGCAGAAAATGAAATGCACTTGTGAATGACTATAATTATTATAACTAATCAAATGAGAAGGAATTATTAGTAACATCATCATCATCGTTATATATATATATATTTTACTTCTTATTTATGTTTGAAACATCGTTGTCTTCATGATTGCGACCAAAATCTTTGTGGATCAATTTATATTCTATTTTTTAAGGAAATATGCGCTCAGCTTGAATAAAGATTATCTGGTTGTTCTTGTTGTAATTTAGATGCATTACAAGGTAAACTCAAAATACATGTTATCTACTGGCCCAAAAAGTATTTCAATAATTAAATAGTATTAATAGCCAGAAAAGAGTGGTCACGTGACGGAGACGAATGGACGCTTTCTTTTGGGCTTCGTGGATTCGTGACTTTTGTTTACACATTGTGGTGTTTTGAGGCAAAAATTTTGCATCAAACTGTGTATATATGTTTATAACAGTGTTTGGACATTGCTTTTTGCAATTTTGCAGTTTCCTTTGTTGTGTCTGTATGGATTAACATCTGGATTGCTATTACTGTGAATACCCAATCTGTGAGTACCTATTCACCAAGCTTTCGAGACGCTGTATTATAACGGTAGCCATCCTAGGTTTGAATGTAAAATTGGCACAACTACTGAAACCTATTTATCTAAAAGACAGTGAAATGCCAAAATTGTCAAATGAAAGAATTACAAATTTTGAATTATTAGAAGCAGTAATGCATCGTGTAGGCGATACTGTCAAGTGCGTACAATTAGACCGTGGCGTCTGGAGAATTTATGTAAGTGATTATGAGAGCAGAAACGAAATACTCATACAAGGCTTTGATCTTAACAATCAGTACATTCAAGTTGCGATTCAAATCCATATTCCATGGGGCTTGAGTACCAAGAAAGCAAAACATTAAAAATCACCATCTGCAGTGTTCAGCTATCTGTGGATGATTCGTCCATCTATGGAATGCTTCAAAAGTTTGGGACCCGTCCTAAAAGTGATCTCAAATATGAAAAAATTAGGAACCCTAATAATAACAAAATAACCAGTGTTCTTAATGGTACTTGTTCTTCTGTTGATACATCCTTTGCCCATTCTATGTACGATCAATTCTGGGGAACCGGTTTAAACGCCACTCAAACCCTTTACACTAAACCAGAGACTTGGCCAAGAAAAAAATATCATGGGTTAGATCATGCAGAAGCTCACAGAAAAGCTGCATAAAGCTCCAGGGCCCACAAGGTTTCGCCCAAGGAGTGTTGCTTCTATCAACAAAACGAATCACCAGGGCCTAGACATCTACCTTAAAGGCCGAGGTTTTCAACCGGTCGCTTTTCCTCAGGTAAGTTTGGTGTGGGTGGAGCTTAATTGAAACGGATGTGAAGCCCCGAGGGAACCAAGCTGGCTTGTGTACACAGGATGTTACCTGTATATTACCTGTAAATGTTTTCCTAAGACATAGGTTAACTTCACGTGTTGGTCAATCGAAATGTAGATCGTCAAATTTATGAAATAAAACATGCTAAATTTTTTAAGTAGACTAATTCCTTTAGTTCAATTCTTTATTAAGGATACACCAAAGGTTTCCAAAAGCCAGGGTTTAATTTGCATGCAATTCTTTCATTATCTAAGATAACATAATAAAAGTATATATCATTTGAAAGCTTGTTCAATTTACTATCTAATTATCCTAATTTAAACTTTAATTAATAACTTATTTAAAAATTATTTGAATATTAATGTAAACTTAAGTGCATAAATATTTTATAAATCAACTTTTCTGTATTTAACCCTTCATTTTGCCTCAAGGTAGATTAAAGATTGAACTTTAAAACTGTATCTCAGATTTTTGATAAATATTCTAATTCAAAAGAAACAGCCATTTGCCCTTCAATGTCACCAATTTATTAGCCTAATTTAACATTTCCCTCAATAATTCCAAAACTAAGCTAGATATCAAAAATCTGAGATACGGTTTTGTGAACACACATTTGAGAAGCAACCCATCTAATTTTCAGAGAAATTGGTCAATAAATAAGGGAGCTGAATCCTTTGAAATAATACCACAAACTGTCTGATCTTACTTTACAGTAGAGGGCAAAAACCCATTACACAACAAAATCTGCCAAAGCTAGGAATATATGACACCTTGGAGATTCAGCTTTGGATACCTGTCACTTAGCCATATTTCCTATGGATATTCACAAGAATGGGAGGTTCCTTTCTGTATTTAGATGCTTTTAATTAAGTAAAATAGGTTCAATTCTGAATCAGAAAGATTTCCCGGCAAAATGGCAAGAGCTAAGATCCACCTCCTATTTTATGGTCATTAGTAATCTGTTAGATCTCCTTCCCTAAATCTAGAGTCCCTGTAGTTTGATTACTGATAACCTCTGTGTGGCTAGTGAAGAATTCCCCAAGTGGTCACAGTGATTTATTGCGTCTTTCATGAGCTAGCAGTCACAGATCAAATCAGAAGCTTCAATAACGGAACATTCACATGTGGTAGTGTTTATGTTTCATTATTGTTAAATAATTAGAAAACCATTTCATAATTACCAAGAATTTTACATGCATTATAAAGCAGTAATTAACTTCTTTTTCTTAACCAAAAATCTTAAAATTGTTGAAAATCTTGAAAAAAGCCTTTGGTGTATCCTTAAAATATGTTTGAATAAAGCAGACAACTCAGCTTAATTTTGTTCGTCAATAAATTTCAAATCTTTGGTTGTAAGCTGGCGGCACCGAGGGAAATAGTCATTCGCAAATCGAAAGTAGAAAAAAGCGCGGTCCTGAAAAGTCTCTAAAACTCAGAAATCCTGTTTAAAGGCTAAATTTTGTAGAAAATATATAATAAATGAGATAAATATTTTTGTATAATTACTATGTGATTAACCCATGACGCATGCATATTTCGTAAAAATGGTTATGGCGTCCGCGTATTGTTTCTCTGACAGGTAGACGAAACGGGAATATAATCACTTTATCCTACTTTTTTCCTCGATATCCATAATTCTAAACATAACTTGTATATGCAATGAGAGCTTTTATAATACTGCTTATTTCTCTTTAAAACTGGTTATTTTACCGTAACTTTCATCACCATGTTCGAAGAAATATTACACGTCTTAAAATTTTTAACTTGGATAATATGACTATAAATATGAAAAAGGAATTACTAAAAAGGAATTACTATTTTATCAAATTACACGATGCTTCCAATGCAATTTGATATTCCCTGTTTTAAGTAAAATCGATGTACGTGTAGATTTGGACAATCTATACTGCATTATATATTGTATAGTGAAATGAACCCCCCTTTCTTAATTACAATTTAAATAGATATATGACTAATTTCCTTTTTCATTAATTTAATTATTTGACAGACTGATTAAATATAAATTATATATGGCTAATGACTTTATCATAAAGTTAAAAAAAAATAATATCAGCTCTGGCTGCTTCTTTATCACGATGTTATTAATTATATGCGGTAGGCATCAAAGACTGAATGTTAATTCAATGATCGGTACGATCCGCAGCCAAGGTATACAAGATATATACACAATGGCAGGTAGCAAAATGTCAATCATTTTTCAGTATCCAATCTCAGTATTAATTTCATCTGATTGACAGGGGTTCACAGACCAGGTAAAATTGGGGGCGGTGCTTATCCCCCCCCCCCTCCCTTTAAGAGGTAACTCTTCAGACAATGGCTAACATAAAGGTTTTATGATTTGACTGTAGAGGTTTAAATAATTATGACAAAAAATTAATATGATACAAATGACTCAATGGTATAAAATGTGATACTATATCTTTGCAAGAAGCCAATTTTATTCCAGATAGAATTAATAGCATCTATTTGTGTATACAAAATAGATGCCTTTATTTTACGAGAAAAGTATATTTGCAGGGACCTATATACTAGTATATAGGTCCCTTATACATTGGCTTTTAAGAGTCGGGCTTGGATGACACAGCAAGTATCTATTAAAAGGGTCGGGTTTGTTCTTCACATTCCTTTCTGCTGAACCTTTCAAAGGTAAAGACGGATAACAAATGCTTGCAAAAAATACATCTAATTTTTGCTTTGTAATTTTAAAAAATCGTATAATTTTCCATTTATGTATTGTTTTTCAACCATTTTAAAGCTTTTATTACTGTTGATGTTTATTAAATAAGGCGGATGATGTTGGATTCAAAATTTTCACGCAGCAGACGACGCACACGCGGTTATGCCAAAAAATAATTAATTTACCATTGTATTGATATTAAATGATCAAATATTGGTTATTAACATTAATTATTGTCTTTTTGTTTCATACTGCGTCGAAATCGGAAAATGCAAACCCAGAATAGGAGAACAACAGTATGGAAACTTGGTCGGACCTTTTTTGTGGACACAGTGAGGATGGGTCAAAATATAAGTCAAAGAAAAGAAAAGCAAATAATCTGTGAACCAGTTGGAAAACCAGACATTGAATATACGTATCATCACAATCCAATATATCAGGTACATCCAACACCTTTGAAATACATAAATCAGTGAATGTTTATACTTGATTAATCTTTGCCATTGTAAAATGAGACAAAAATATAAGCAATAGTCTGCTTATGCAGTGTATAGATATTGCTTCTAAAAATCCTTTCCTTAAA